TCGTCAGAAAATATAACTTTATGCCATTGACGAGTCCATAAAATTTTATCTAAAGCAAAATCAAACCTTTTTAATTTATGCACTTCCTTTAAATTCGGACTCTGTCTCATTTTTTTATAAACAAGATTATTATCTTCTTTAATTGCTCTTAAAACATTAGATTTTGATACTGATAAATCTAAATCTGCCTTAATTTTAGAAATAGTTATGGCTTTATTAGAATCCAAACTTTAAATTTTCTTAACTGTTCTAAAAGAAAGAGTTCTTTTTCTTCCTTTTTTGTTAGTAATTATATTTACATTCTTTAAAGTCAGGTAATTTCTAATTTCGGTCCTTTCTCTTCCAAATCTTACACTAATTTGCTTAATATTTTTTTCCTATTTAAAATAAGCATCAATCTGTCCTTTTTCATACTCATCTAAAGATTTTCCTTTGCTCATTAGGAGATAAATAATTTTTTTTAAAAAAACCTTAAAATCATCATGGCCCTGAAAAAAGTTAAAAAAATTTAAAATCACTATTCTTAATCAAAAAACATTAAATAACAGATATTATTATTTTAAGCATATGTTTGTATTTTAAAATTTGAGTTAAATGAGACGTCCCGTTTAATTGTAAGACTAATTATTTTTTATAAGCATTTTTTAGTAGCTTAGATTAGAAAAATAAAATCATGCAGTAGTTTATTGTAATAAAATAAAACGAATTTAATATTTACAATTCTATAAAACGTGTTTTTTAGGGGAGGGAGTCTATAGATTTTGATGCACCTCTTAAGATAAAAAAATTCAAAAACAAGATTAGACATATATAAAATAAGATTTAATAAAAGGTATTTTTTATATCATTTTAGTTACAATGTTAAACATGAATAATAATTTAAGAATTGTATATTGTTTAATTTTGCATGGGAAAAAAATTTTTTTTTAGGTGTCTTAAGATTTTGACGCACACTGTTCTACTATTTCATTTTTTAGTTTTACTTTCGTCTAAAGGATTTAAAAGCGTTTAAAAGTATTTTCATCGAGGCATATAAAAAAATCCTCCTTAAATGCAGTATTTAAACCTTTTTAAAGCAAAATTTTGCATTTAGTCAAAATCTTTAATAAAAGCTCGAATTTTCATAATAATTTAGTTTATTGATTCTAATTGCGTTTGAAATAGTCACAAAATTTATATATACAATATTGAAGTACAAATTAAAATAAAAAATTAAAGTACTTTTGAAAAATTAATAAAAATTTGGAAATGATTTTTTTTGTTTTTTACTGTTTCTAATAGTTTAATACAAAATTTTTTATATTTTGATTTTTCATAGGTAAAAAAATTCTTTTTCAATTATTTTTAACTTTTCATAAAAAATTAATTGTAGTTTTGCATGATTATAAAAGTTTTTCTATTTTTTAAAAAAAATAGCTAGATTAATTTACTTTTTACAATATAAATAAACTTTTTTGTACCCATAGATGCAGTTTTTAATAATTAATACGTTAACATAAATTATGACAAGTAATAAATAGGGTAATCATTTATGTTTTGTAATATTAATAAAAAAATCATTTTTAGTTGATAAAAAAATTAAGAATAATGTTTTATTTACTCTTGAGAACGCTGCTAAAGATTTATGTGCTTGTGTTACAAGAAGAGGCGGGGTGGTATTGACAATATGAACATTATAATTTGTCATGTTTATGAGAGTTGCAAAAATAATCATGATTATACTTATATAGCTAAAAGGCAGATGTCCTAGATTTATTTAATTTTTTCAATTTTTTTAAAAGTTGAAAAAGCTTTTTTAAGTATTGATAACAGCTTTTTTGGTACTAATTCAGCCAAATACAGTACGTATATTTTAATTAATCTTCAAATCAACTATCTTTCTAAATGAAGATCCAGAGTTTAGTTATAATGCATTTACTGTGGTAATGAGAATTTCATTGAAATGAACGATGTATTGGTCCATATTGTGATACTATTGCAGAATATAATCAGATTCTTAGAAAGTTTTATTTTCGTATTACTAACGATAAAAAAAATGGGAAAATGTTTTGCATTGATTTAGAACAACTTAATTGTTCTGATTTATAAAAGAAAAAGTAAAATTATTGCACAATGACAACTGGCAACAACCACATGAATTTTTGACCAACTTTGATTTGCTTAAACCTGTATGTTTTTTTGGCTTAATTTGTAAAGTTTCATGTCTTTTTTATCAACTAGGAAGTGATAATTATTTTATTGATACAACTTTTAGAACAATTGACGAAAAAAGCATAATTTATATGAAATCATTATATATTAGTTTGATGTAAACGAAACAAGTGGTATCTAAATATATTTTAGCATTTATAAAGATTTTAAACAATTGAGGTCACAGTTCTTGCCATTGTCTTATAACGTGGTAAATTTGCGATGTTTACTCTATTTTCTCTTTCTGGTAAGCTACTTATCAAGTATTTAGTAAAAAGAATACTTTTTTCTAAGTTATTAGCGAAAAAAATTTTATTTTTAGAAACGCTTTTTTCTTTACAAATTGTTGAAAGACCAGATATTATTGGATTTTAACTTCCATTTCAGAGAGAAGTCAAAATTATATTTTTGTAATCTTAAATGATTCTTACGTTACGAAATAATTGAATCTATCATGAACATTGAACTAAAAGACAAAGTATCTTTTAATTATATTTATCTTTATATTATTATTTATTTTGAGCTAGAAATATATTTAATTGAATGTGAAAGTTTTAAAGAGAAAAGTTTTAAGTTACTTGAAAGCTATTACAAATTATTAAGAACAAAAGATGTTTTAAATAGTGTTGAACTTTATTCTGAAACCAACGTTGATAATAGGTATTACATTTATAATAGATTAATGTAAAATCTAAATATGTTATACAAAATTGTTATAATACCGTGTCAGGTAGCCAAAATGAAAGCTAATTTCTAGTAAAGAATTTTATTGTTTTAAATTGTTTAAGGTTTTGCTTTGAGTAACCTGATTTTGGTAGTTCTATTTCTCAGATAATTTTTCATTACACTTCTTTTCAAATTTTTTATTTATAAAAAAATTATAAAATTGATGGGAAAATGGGTGGGTAATAATTTTAATAAAAATGTGTTGGATACCACAAAAATATATGGAACTTCTTTTTATGAGTTTTACTATTTAGTTAAAATTGTTTTTGGTAATTAATCATATGATAAAGATTTTATTAAAAAGTTTGAAAATAATTTAATTTTTTTATAATATTAAGACATGTTATTTTTGAATTAATATTAACCATTAAATTTAAATATTTTTAAAAGCCGAATATTAAGCTTATTGTGTAATTATGACCTTAACAAATTTAAAACTTTTTAACATCCTACATTACTGTATTATTAAATCACAAACATTATAAGGATATAAACATTAAAAGTTCGCAATAATAAATATAAACGACTTTTTACAAACTTAATAAATTTTTATTTAATTTAAACCATTAACAAATTTATAATTTTTTAATAATAAATATTATAAGAAAATATTTAATTTATAAAAAGTCGAAACTATGAAGATGAAACCAAAAAGATCAAAGCGCCGAAGAGACGGTGCCAAAGAAGGTCTGTGGAATTTAAGGCATAGTGACTTAATGCAACTAAAAAAACATTTGAATGTCATTTTAATGAAATATTAGCTATATTTTTTTAAGTTTTTATTTGGCTTGTGTTAAAAGTTACAAAATTGTATTTAAAACTGTCACTAGTGATTATCAATAACCTAATGATTAGCCATAAGGTAAAATGTGATAATATGAAGCTAAACTCTGAAATACAAAGAATTTTAAAATAAAACTAAAAAAAAAGTTTTATCAAAAAAAAATTGTTTAGTAAAAATATTCTTTCAACTTAATAACACCATCTTTAGTAAATAAATTTTATGGCATTACTATGCCATAAATTTTTTTGCTTAAAAAATTCCTCTAGTTGTGGTGCTCGACAAAATTCAACATATATAAATATTATTTATATTTACTAAAAAAGTTTAAATAAAGTTGATCTTCTTTCTCTTTAATTTCATTTAAATCTAAAATATTTACATCAAAATAATCAAATAATTTAACACCATATCGATTATAAAGATCAGCAACATTTTTTAAAATCTTCCCGAAATTTGTATTAAAATATCCTGGTATTCTATTATCGAATCCTGTACTACATCTAGGAATTCTATAAACTCCAATACTATCTTTATAGAATATTTCAGAAGGATCTAGAGGTAAAGTTTTGTTCTGTATATTTATCTTTTCTATATTTTTGTTGTATTTACATTTTTTAACGTTATAGTATTTGGATACTTTCTTTTTGTCTGCAAATTTACTATTATCTTTTTCTATTATTGATAAATCCAGACTCTTGTCAATTTTACGGCTGTTATTTGTCATAATGTAATGGGTATAAAACATAAATTTTTTTAATTAAATTTTTCAAAATAGTTATATTAAAAATATATATTAAATAAAACAAATATTAAAAAAATTAATTATCTACTTTTTGTATAGCTAGACTGAAATACATTTATTTTCATATGACAATTTTTATTTAAAATTTTAATTTTACAACTTATTATAAAGCTTAGATAATAATAAGTTGTAGTTGAAAAATAAAAAAAATATCTAAACACAAATTACAAATATATTTAAAATTAACCATAATAAACTTTAAATAAATTGTAAATTAAAACAACAATTCTTTTATTTAATTCTCTACTTTTTTCATTAAATTTTCCGCAGATTAAAGTGTTGGATTTTTACATATTTAAACGGATTAATTGAATAAATATCAAAATTACGAAATGTAATAATGTCTTAGTAATTAAACTTTTGTTTATAACTGTGAAATTAATTACCACATGTCAACCATTTTACTTATTCTACAAAAAATATTAATTTCAGCCCATCTCAATTACAAAAAAAAGAAGAAATATTTTTTATAAATCATTATTTTAAAATATTTTTAATATCTGTAATATTACAGAGTCCTTTATGTAACATAATAAATATTGGTATTATTTATTGGCTCTTTTTACTCCTTATTTTTTATTTGACCCTGCAATTTGACATTAGCACATGTAGAAGGTAAGTTGGGTTGAAATGTTATTCTTGTACTTGTATAAGAGTTTTACTTAGATGTGAATTCAAAGTGTACATAAACACTTGGCTTTTTTACAAATTGCAAAAAACTGTTGAACATGATTCCAGAATTTTTTTGCTTTGTGGTGCTCAAAAGTGGTATTGGCAAAATTTTTGTCTTTGCCCTAAATATTGATTTTTATAAAAAAAATGGTCTCAAGATCTTTTGAAAATATGGTTTTTTTATTAAAAAACGTAAAATAAATTTTTTAATTATATGAAAAATTTTAATAAATATTTTAATTTATTTTTTCCTTCATTCTTTTTAGCATAAACCTTAAAAGATGTAAGTCAATTAACTTCTTAGTTCTATATCTAACAGGTGCTGTTTTCTTAACACCATTCCAATTCCCTTCAATTGTGTCAGTATACGTATTTGTTTCTTTATCTATAAGCTGCTTAGAATGATTAACAGTTCTATGCTCGTTAAAAGAATTGGCTAGCTTGATATAACCTTTCCAACAATCACTAAATATAGCTGGTTGTTTATAAATATATTGATTACAAAATGAAATAAGAATACACCTGTCGCGCTTGTCAACACTTGCTAAAATAATTCTTCTTAACAATCTTCCTACTGCCCCTATACCTAAACACCACCTACTCTATGACATTCGTGGTATATATATATATTTTCTTTTCCCAATTTGCTTTCATCAACCTCATCTATGCTATCTTCCCCACCAATCCTAATAAATTTGTTTAAATACTTGTTAAACGTTCCTATATCTCTTAGTTTATAGCATAAATCTGAAACAGTTGAACGATGAGTATTAGCTATTCTGGCAATTTAACTAAAAGGCACACCTTCTACTACATATCTAAAACTTGACCACTGTGAGAATTGAGAGGCGTGTGTTTTCGAAAATCATGTCTTTAAACATTGAAAGCCTACATCTACACATAAAAATTTATATATGACAAGGTATTCATGCTTTAATTTTTCGGTTTCATAACCGCATTCATTGCAAAATCTGTTTAAAAAAGTATTTATAACAAAATTAGTTATTTTTTGTATTCTTCATAGTCCTTCAAAACAAAAATTTTAGGGATTAAAAAAAAATTTGCCAATATCACTTTTGAGCACTACAAAGCAAATATAACCAATATTTCTACTTAAAATTAATGTTTTTTTTTCTTTACATTTAATCTTATTGTTATAATCGAAGGAGAATTTTTATTTGGCCGCGAACTATATGTCAATTAAAAGTACGCTTTCAAATGTTTTTTATTTATGTTCTTTTTTCTGTAAAGTGAAATATTGCTTTGTTTTTTAAAATAAAATATTTAATAAAGCAAAAATTCAATTTAATAAAATCAAACAAATAAAAGAAATGTAAAGTTCTCGTTTATTTTATAATCTGTTTTTATTAGTTCATATTATATAATGTTTAATTTAACTCCTTAATTATATGTAAATTTTTTTACAATACAGCACTGTCAAAAATAAATTATTTATACAAAAAAGCCTTAATTTTTATTAATTGTCAATTCCTTTTACAAAAAACAAGAACAAGACATGTAATTTATTATTAAAGATAAATTATTTGTCATATTTTAACACAAAGAATCAAATTTCTTACATGTTTCATCGTTGTTTAAAATAAAAAAGATTTTTTGTAAACACTATGTTTTTTTACATTTCTCTATTAAAAGCTATAGTACCATTATTTGACAATGACTCGTATGATATACATGAACCGTACGATCTAGATGAAGAAATGGGCTATAACACCCCCAGCACTACATCAGAAATGTTAAATGACAATACAGTTTTAAATACTACACAAGATTTCCAACCACTGAACGTAAAAATACCGAAAAATGCATTTCGGTCAATACGTTACGGCAAAATAAAAACAAATCCCGAGAACCTTGAAACACTTATACAGCACGAGATGGAAGACATAAGCCCCGATTTACATAATAAAATAAGAAAAAGGCTTGCTAAAAGCAATGTCGACAGAAGTAGGTATAAAGATCTTTTTTTTATAAAAAAAAGGATTATTCAGGATGGTGACAGAAAGATAGTAAGTTTTGATATAAAAGAGAAAATTATACCTAAAAATCCTGACAGTGAACATATAAATAAAGATGTAAGTTTAAGGGTAATATTAGCAGGAATACTCTTCTTACTAGCTGGTCTTGTTTTTACTACAACTATGAAAATGTATCAAAATATTTTTAAAAAAAATGTGTTTAATTACGACGGGAAAAAAGAACAAAACAAGGAAAGCGTATAATAAAAAATGCAATTTATAAAAATTTTATATTAGTTTTTTTAATCTAAAAATTAGGTGCCTTTAAATAAAAACATTAAAAATTTTTACAATATAATAAGAATATACTATAAAAAACCAGAATTTTATATACATCATTTATTTTCTATTAAGTTCTTATTTAGATTTTGTTCCTTTTTTTTCTCCTCTTGTTCTTTTTCGCTGTACATTTCTAACTTCTTCTCTGCATTCTCTCTGTTAAACAGTACATTCTCGACAATTCCGTACATGTAAAAGAAAAGACCAAGAGTTAGTGCTGTAAATAACATATTTACGATAAAAAATACATTAAATACACTAGCTCTTTTAGATCTAGGGAGATTTTTGTTTTTCATTGTATCCCCAGAAAATACCACACTACATATTAAACCTGCCAGTACAGATCCCAATCCTGTAAAAGTTCCTTGGTAAACCATCTGAGAAGTAGATTTCAAATGTGGTGGACACAATCTCTGGGCCAATTGTACCGCAGAGCAATGTGTAAGTCCAAAGTTTAATCCTTTAAAAAGTTCAATACCACATACCGCTGCATAAGAATAATCACTATCATACGGTAGCATCCAGTAAAATACAAATCTTAGCATTTGAGCACCCTGTGCCAAGAACAAAGGCCAGAAATATCCTAAATGTTCTATAATAGTCTGCGCTGTAAAAAATGTCACAATTTCAAATAATATACCAAATAAATTGGCAGTACTAGTAGTGTTATTATTAAAAATACTAAGTGGACCCGATATTACACCAGGAAATCCCGATAAATCGAAAGGTTTCATTTTAATTACATCTTTCCAGTATATTGTAAGAAATATAGTCATAGACGCTCTAGTAAGTCCATTTAATAAAATGATAAAAATAAAGAACATGTAGTCCCAATTAGTAATTAATTCTTTAAAACTCTTCCACATGTCTTGTCTACCTGTTTCACGCCTAGAGGTATCCCAGTTTATAAAATAAAAACACATGCCTACAGTGGCAAGTGCTACTAGTAGATTGTAAATCCTTAAATTAGTCCACTGTGTCGCTTCATTTTTGCTATCCGTTACTATAAATTCTACCACATAATTACACACTGCGTATCCTACAGTCCCCCATAATCTCTGTGTACCATAAGTCTTTGCCCCTATGTTAGGAATTTTACTTAAATATTCCAATATAACTTTATCCATTAACGGTGTAGTACACAAATTAGCTCCAAGATAAAATAACATATTAAACCAAAATACACCTGGTATAATATTTTCAACGTATTCAGTAAAAAAGAATAACTGAAAGAAAAAAGCACTCAAACACAGAAACACTATTAAAAACCATTTACTTGCACCCCATTTATCATTTAAAGATCCTATGTAGATATTCGTGAAGAATGTAATAAACATTAAAACACCAAATCCTGTTCCTACAGCACTCTCAGACACCCCAAATTTATCTTTTGCAAACACACTTTTAAAAGTGTGTAACGTATAAAACAACATTGCAATTGAGAAGAATAATACTTTAGGAATTAATAAGTATTTTTTGTTTAATGATCTAATTGTATCCATTTTGGGGTAAAAAATTTAAAGGAAAAAAAGCTATTTGTTTGTTGATACAAATTTTGAAGTAAAAAAAAATGTTGTTATAAAGGAGAAACATTTATTTTTTACATGAATAGTTTCTAATTAACAACCAAAAAACATTTGTGTAAAAAATAAACAAATTAAATCATAAATTACATTATAATTTAATTTTTACTGTAATAATTAAAAAATTTACAAAAGCAAAAATTGATGGAAGTTTTTTTGTAAGAAAACTAGAGATAATATTTTGAAAATTTATTATTTTTAATAGTCTTGTTAAGTAAAATAATTGAGGAAATAAAAGGAGACTAGTGTTAGACAACACACCTTATAAAATTTCAAAAAAATATATGCTTATAAACAATACATAATGAAAGTTAGTAGTAAACATACTAATAGCTTACTTTTTCAAAAATTATTTAAAACTTAATATGTCTTAATCATAAAATTAATTTACAAAAAGAAAATAATTTTTTAAGCATTTAATTTATAAAACAAAAACAATAGCATATTAAAACAAAAAAAATAATATAAAAAAACATTTATTTAACTCTTACCACACCAATATTAATATCATCATCATTCAATATTTTATCAATTATTTTCTTAATATACTTTCCCAAATTAAATCTCCCAATTTTATCTTGAAAATACACACAACATTCTCTTAAATGTAAAATTGATATCTTAAAAGTTGTTGTATTTTCTAATATTTCAGTAAAAACAGCCTTTTTAAAGAATTCTTCTAGGATTTGAAACATTCTTTGTATTTCTTCTGTATTCTTAAAATCTATAGATTTTGAATGTCGCCAGATTAATTTCAGTGGTATATCATTTTTTACCACAGAAGAAGAATCTAACAATCGGAAATATACCTCTAAAATAACACTCATCTTACAATTAAGACACAAATTTGTAAGAATATCACTAACAACATCGGATAAATCTTCATTCTTTATAATATTTATTAAATCTACATTTACACTTTCTAATATTTCTTTTCGTATTTGTTCACAAAATATTCTGCTTTGACTTAATTTTAGTAAAACGTTTAAAATTAACTTTGCATACAAAGGTCTATGTAAAACATCTAGAAGCTGTATTGATATACTTGAAACAATAGAATTGGCAGAAAATAGTACAACATTAATGTCATTATTAATAATTTCAGATAACCTTTTAAAAGCTTCCTCACTTTTATTTTGATCTGAGTCAATAATGTTATCAAGAATGTCTTCTAAATTTTCTACATTTTTTCTGGGACTGAAAAATTCCTTTCTGAACTTTTTAGCATTTGGAGTCAAACGTGCTCCTCCTGATAAATTTAAACAATCTAGTGATGTTTCAATGTCAATATTTAAATCATTAGCTTCAAATACAGAAGGTGCTATAAGATTCAATGGAATAGAATTACATTTAGGTTCTTTAAGTTTATTGAATGTTTTTGTGTCTGCCAGATTACCTTTTATTTTTGTTTCTGTCATAATATTTTTTGTGTCTGGTAAATTATTCTCATCTTTTGCGTCTGTCATATTATTTTTTATTTTTGTTTCTGTCATATTATTTTTTGTATCTGGTAAATTATTCTCATCTTTTGAGTCTGTCATATTATTTGTTATTTTTGTTATATTATTTATAACTTTTACGTCTTTAACAGGTGTTCCAAAAACACAAGTATTAAACTTAGGTGCATCTTTGTAAATTGTTGATTTATTATTACATTTATCTAAAAAATCTAAAAAATTTTCACTATTTTTAATATTCTCTTTAATTATCTCTGAGTTGGAATCTGTTACATATCTTTTTAGTAAAGACACTATACAATGCTCTGATTTCTCAGATATAGTGTCTACTAAAATATTTTTAAGTATTAAAAATAATTTTGTTAAAGGATAAACTCTGTCAATCATATTTAACTCTTCATAAAAACCTTTAGAAAGATAATGTTTTACAAGTGTCTGGCACTCTTCTTTAGATAAAATATATTTTTTAGATACAAAATGTATCATTAATGTATTGAAAAAGGTAGATTGTACATCTTTGTAAATAGACATTTCTATAATCTTAGAAGAGTGACTAATAAGATCTAATGAATCCAGAAGACTAAAAATAGTATCTACGTTTTTTTCATTTATCAAATTTATAATATCAATTGCAGAATTGGAAGCTGGTGATGGTTCAAACAAATTAACATTTGTTGTTTTACTTGAGTGATCAGAACATTTTGAATCATTTTGTACCCTTGAATTTTCATTAGGTTCATGTAAAAATGAGCTATTTTGTTCTTTACTTTCACAAGATATATTAACACTTTTGCCTTCTTCATTTTTTACATCTAAAATAAAACTACTATCTTGTACTTTAAATGTATTTTTTAGACCCTCTACTGCTTTTTTTTCTTGTAATCCCGTAACTCCAACTTTAAACACATCTTCTATTTCCCTTTCATTTTTGTGGTACTCAGACAGTAATTTTACTAACTCTACAAATTTTTTACCTTTCTTTACAAGACAAATTACTTCTACTAATATTTCTATAACAAGAGATCTGTTAAAAACACCGAATAATTCAAGTATTTTACTTTTCATTTTAGCTTCTGTGCACTTATCAACACAATAGTAAATTAACACTTCTTGTACATCTAAAAATGTAACAAGCTCAGCTTTTCTTTCTATAATTAAATTTAAGTATAAAATATTTACCTGGAAATTTGGATCTTTTACGCTAAACAAAAAACGTGCAAAATCTAAAAGATCTTCTTTAAGTAGATATTTCTTATTTGCATTAATTCCTTCAATTCTCACTGTCCAGGTTTTATCTAAAATAAATGGATATTTTGACTGAAATGATTCTAAAATTTCTTTATTTATAGCTGGTTGTCCTTTTTTTGTATATTTTTTCGTGAAATTCTGTTTACTGGGTGTAACAATTTTCTTAATGGGTGTTATACTCTTCTTAATAGGTGTTATGCTCTTTTTTGTAAATTGTACAGGTGCAATTTTATTTCCTACTATTACATTTGTACTGGTTTCATTTGGATTAATTTTTTTTCTTAGATCGCTACTAAGTAAATTTTTATCATAATCAAGCATTCTTAAAGCTTCAAAAGCTTTATTTCTTACCATACTACTAGAATCTTCAGTACATTTAATTATACATTTTATTACTTCTTTATCAATAATTTTACATTCTGTACACACTTCAATTAAATTAGCTTTTAACTCAGGACTTTTTAACATAAAATATTGTGTATTTATATGCTCTACACCCACATGTATAAGTGTTTTCTTTATTTTATCTGTTATACACATTTTCTTATCTTTAAGTCTTTCTATAAGACCATTTATTATTTTTTTATCTTTAACTTTAAATTTATAAATAACGTCTAATACCAAAAAAAATACTTGATTATTTGGATCATTAATTCTCTGAAATAGCACATCTACAATATTATCGTTATAAGGACTATTCAATAATTGTGTCAATCCTTCTACTCTTATATTCCATTTAGAATCATTAATTTTACTATAGTCCAAATCAACAGAAATACTTTCCGATTGCGGCGAAATTTTATTAAATTCTTCTTCTAACTCTTTCAGTAGTATTGGTTTTATATTTAAATATTTCTTAACTTCATTTCCCACAATTTTATATAATAAAACAGTAAATTTTAATCCTTCACTTCTAACAACACTGTCAGAATGTCCTAATACAAGATTTAAAGCTTCCAATGAATCTTGTGTAGGCAGGTTTTTGTTATTTTCATACAATCTATTTAATGATATAAGTGTATTACTTACTATCTTAGGATTTTTATTGCTTAACAATTGTACAAGTGTAGGTACCAAATCAGAATCTTTAATATTATCAATTAAATTAAATATTCTATTTTTTATTGTTGTCTTACTATTTCCTATTTGTAAAAATATTTTACTTACAGCAGAAGTAGAAATTATAGGTGCCTTTAAAATAGAATCTATCGCAGATTCCAATGCAGGTATATTAGTTTCATTTTGCAGTAAATGTAAAAATTCAAGGTTTTTACCCTCTTTAAAATGATTTCCTAGTTCTAAATAAACTTCTTGCCTTTCTTTCCAATTTTTAGATTTTATTCTTTCTATGTAGTCCATGTTTTTATGCAAGGGAAAATAAATTTATATAAAATATTTACAATACAAACAAATTGTTAATAAAAATTATTTAAACTTTTTTATTTTTGACCCTTATGAATATTAATAATCTTCTTGACAAACTAATAAAGTCTAGGAATTTTACAGAATATGCCTTTGCTTATAACACACATCCTACGCCTTCTCCATATTATAAGTCTATTATGCTTCTGCATCTTTTAACTACTAATATAAAAGAATATTACAAGGCTTTACAGACTATTTCTGTAGAAGAAGCCAATTCACAAGAAATAAATTTTATTATACAACTTGATCTATTAATTAATACATGTAACTTGAAGAAGATTAAAGAAATTAAAGCTAGTGATGATATTCAATATTTTATAGATAAGATTATTAGTATTTCTACTGAAAATCAAAATATAAAAGAAAAAAAACTTTCAAGTAAAGATTATTATAAAGATATTATAAAAGATTGTATGTTTGTGTCGCGAAATTAAATATTATTGTCTAGTTGTAGTTATCCACTAATTTTTAACAATTTTGTATTTAATCATTTTTTTATACATCCACTAATTTTTAACAATTTTGTATTTAATCATTTTTTTATACATCCACTAATTTTTAACAATTTTGTATTTAATCATTTTTTTATACATCCACTAATTTTTAAAATATTTTTTTTCAACTATTTTTACCCTTCAAAATGGTAAGTGAATTTCTAATAATTTTAGGGAAATATTCGTAATCGAGTTATTAAAAGAGCAGCTAGACAGATTGTTGAAAAACACTTTTTAAGTCTTGATAAGACATTTGAAGATAACTTACTAGTTGTACAAGATGTAGCACTTGTTCAATCTAAAAAAGTAAGAAACCAGATTGCTGGATATGTAACTCACTTGTACAAGTGCATTCTTAAAGGAACAGCTAAGAAGTTATACATTAAGAGCCATGAAGATGAAAGAGAAAAAAAAGAAAATGTCATGCCTAAAGACTCAATTATGGATTGCGATACCATAGAAGTAGATGCTGTTACTATGGACATGCTTAATAAAAATGAGTATAGGGGAAATTTCAAGCTTATAACTTATTAAATGATTTTAATTTATTTTTTAAAAAACTAAAAATTTTATATAATTTTATATTTTAATTATTGAATGGAAAGTGTGGTATAATAAAATCTTTTCCTTCATGGTGATGATGCATGCTAGAATCTAGTTCTGAAGAAGAACTTTCGCTTGATGGTCCATATGATTTTCTTACTCTTCTTCCGTATACAAATGTTATAAAAAGCAAGCAAAGAATTTTTTGATAGAACCAAGACATAATATTTTTGTTCTAGAAATTTTTATAAAGTAGTGTTTACTGTTTCAAATGTGACAAATAGATCAATAATATAAAACTTTACACGTTAAGTGGTTTTATGAATTAATTATTTATATAACAGTGTATATTAATAGTTGATAACTATAGAATAATAAATAAGTCGTAAAAAAATTTATTATTGTAAGTCTTTTGGTTGTTGTAATTTTTATAATTTATGAAATACCTTAACATGATGTTAAACTGCCTTAATGTTTTCGGCTTAAAAATATTTATTATATATTTATTTTTGTCCTTGGCTTAAAAATTTTTATCATAAATTTACTTTTGTCCTTGGCTTAAAAATTTTATCATAAATTTATTTTTCTACCCCCAAAAATGGTACTTGGTAAACCAAAACAGAAAAAGTCATTTAAACCGAAATTGACCAAGGAACAAAAAGAAGAGAAAGAACTTCTTATTACTAAAAAGATTACTAAACTTGCTAATGCCATCAAGATACCGCCAGCTATTAATCAGTTTAAGACTCGACTTGGTGAAGAAGATTTTAAAAAGGCATTAGAGTTATTTTCTAAATACAGACCCGAGACCCATGATGAGAGACTTGAAAGATTAAAGAAAAGTGATCCTAAAGAGGGACCTAAGCCAATTATTGCAAAAATGGGAATAAGACATGTTACTAGACTTATAGAAACCAAAAAGGCTAAATTTGTGTTAGTAGCAGCAGATGTTGATCCAATTGAAGTTGTTTTATTTGTTCCTACTCTCTGCAAGAAAATGAATATTCCTTATGCGATAGTAGAAAGTAAAGAAATGCTTGGTAGTGTTGTTAACTTAAAGAAGACAGCTATACTTGCCTTATGTGATGTTAAATCTGAGGATAAGAAAGATTTTGACGCGCTTATTAAAGCTAGTAATGAGTTATTTAGTGATCAATATGAGACACATTTGACTAGATGGGGTGGAGCAGCTATTAAGAATTAAAATTATTTTTTATATATGAGGCATGTCCTGTGAATATATTATTTACAACTTTGTTATGATTTTATATTGTTTTAAAGAATTGTTAGCTTGCGCTATTCTTTTAAAGGCAAGATTTGAACTTGATTAATTATATGTGTTTTTTCTTAGTTTTAGATCAAGTCTTAATGTTAAAATTTCTCACTTTTTACTTTGAATTAAATCTACTATGGCTAAATTTTTTTGATTAAAAAATCTAAATTTAATTATTAATAAATACAGATGGATTTATTTTGTGCATAAAAAAGTTAACTTGATAAGCTATTGGTTTTTGAAAAAATTTCGAAAGAATTCATCAAAAAAGAAAGGTTAAAAAATAAATAAATATCTAGACTTAAGTTTATAATATAAAACCGATTGAGCTAGAAACTACCCATTAGTTAATGCTTATAATATTTTAGTCATATTAAATGACTGAGAAAATGAAAATCAATATAATTATGTTAATATTAGTTATTGTTATATTGAGCTTTAACTTGTTACTTTATATTTTTACTTATCAAGAACACTCTTTCATAAATGTGTTAAAACTTATTTTATATTGCATAAACGAAAAAATAAAATAAGTGTTTTTTTACAAACACACTAGAAATTTTTTGTGTTGACAGAAAAAAATGTAAGATCAGAAATATAGATAGATAATCTTTGTTAACACATTTTACTTAAGAGAAAGAATTGGTGTTATAACTGAAGAGTAAGTACAAAAAGAACTAGATTGATAAAATTTTCAAAATAAATTATTTACTGCGATTTATTAACATAAGTTAAACTTTTTAATATATCACAACAATAAATAAGTTTAATTTATACACCCAAGTGCAAATTAAACAAGGTGTTTATGCATAAATGCTTATTTTTATTGTCTAAGCTCTTACAAGATTCTTATTTTAAACTTTTATACAAAAATAAAACACATGTAATAAATTTTTAGTATTTTTATTTAAAAAACAACTTATTACCTTTACTTTTATTAATAAATAATACACTGTTGTTTTATTATAAAGACAAAAATATCTTTTTACTCTTTGCATTGTAACTGTAAGATAACATTTAATATTAGTAGCAAAATCTAAGCAAATAGTATAATTACAAAATTGTAAAAATAAGCAATGTTGACTAGATGGTAAAGGTATAGCTTACATTACATATAGCTTTATAATCAAATATATAAAATGACAAAATTAAATGATATTTAGCTTTTTACAATATTTATAAAAATGTTATTATTTGAGTTCGTTTATTATAAAGATTTTATAAAAATTTTAATGTAAATGTTGTGACATTCTTTTAAAAAATCATATTTTAATTTTTGCTTAAGTACAATATGTTAAATTTTAATAATGAACTTTTTTAAATCTTTTAATTTATAACTTATTTACATGTGTAAATTACAAATATATTTATTAAAAATAAATATTACTAGTAACTCTATATAAAAAATAATAACTACAAGTTAATTTACTTTATTTTTTATATTTTTTAATTTATGTAACTTGTTTCTTTTTTTGTGTATGAGATTTATCTATAAATATTAAAATTATAAACATTTAACCCTAATGCAAATATTTGTAAAGACACTCACAGGAAAAACAATTACTTTAGATGTTGAACCGGGGGATTCTATAGAAAATGTAAAGGCTAAAATACAAGATAAAGAAGGTATACCACCAGATCAACAGAGACTTATATTTGCAGGTAAGCAATTGGAAGATGGAAGAACACTTAATGACTATAACATTCAAAAAGAAAGTACTTTGCATTTGGTGTTGAGATTAAGAGGTGGTTATTAAACTATTTGTTTGCATAAATTTTAATTAACATTTTTTACTATTTAAATAGAATGAATTATGCATAAATTATAAATCCATGCATAAATCATAAAAATATAAATAAAATATAAAAATCCATGCATAAAATATAAAAACATGAAGATTTTTATTCCCTAAAATAATGGAAAAAAATTCTAGATATGGTATCACTGGACCATTGTCACTACAAGAAAGTACTTTAAAAGAAAAACAATGTAGTGAAGAGATGGATAAATTTATACAAGATTGTGGATTTTTTGAGGATGAATCAGAAGGTCAGACACGTGAACGTGTTTTAGGAAAATTAAATTCTTTACTGAAACAATTTGTACAGAAGACATCAGAAAATAAAAATATTTATTTGAATGATAAAAATAATAATAACGGTAAAATATTTACTTTTGGTAGTTACAGACTTGGAGTGCACAGTAAAGGTGCAGATATTGATGTCTTATGTGTAGTACCAAAGCACATTACCAGAAAAGATTTTTTTACAGATTTTTTTGAACTTTTATCACAAGACTCAGATGTAAAAGAAATTACAAAAATAGAAGAAGCTTATGTACCACTTATTAAATTAATTATACAAGGTATACCTATAGATCTTACATTTGCTAGATTGAACATAGGAATAGTAAATGATAATGTTAATTTATTAAATAACACATATTTAAAAAATATGGATGATAAATGTGTGTTAAGTATTAATGGAAGTAGAGTGACAGATGAAATATTAAATCTAATTCCTAATGTTAAGACATTTCATTCAGCTTTGCGATGTATTAAATATTGGGCCAAGCGAAGATGCATTTATGGAAATTCGTATGGTTATTATGGGGGTGTAGCTTTTTCTATTTCTGTGGGTAGAATCTGTCAACTATTTCCAAATGCTTCTTCTTACACTATTGTTAGTAAATTTTTTGAATTATATTCCTTCTGGAAGTGGCCATCTCCTGTCTTGTTAAAACCTGTTATTGATTTAAGTTATAATATGAAAGTTTGGGATCCTAAGTTGTATCCGGCAGATAAATATCATAAAATGCCTGTTATAACACCTGCTTATCCTTCTATATGTTCAACACATAACATAATTGCTAGCACACAGCAACTTATTATTAATGAGTTTACTAGAGGACATGAAATATTTTGTAATGAAAAAGGAACAACAAAAGATATTTTAAAAAAGCTGTGTAGTCTATCAGATTTTTTTTATAAATATAAATCTTATATACAAATTAACGCTATATCACAAGATGAAACAAATCATAAATTGTGGTTGGGATTTGTAGAATCTAAAATTCGTATTTTGGCTCTTAAAATTGAATCTCTCGATGATGTTTTGTATGCTGTTCCTTTTCCTAGATCTTTTAATATAACTAAAGAAAAATTATCTTTTTTTACTTTTAAAACTAAACATATTAAAATTTGTACTTCTTTTTTTATTGGACTAGAATGTCCTAGTACTAAAGCTAAAAAAGTCTTTATTGATCATCCAATAAAAGAATTTATAGAGTTTATTAATAATTATGACAAAAAAGATGAAAATATGAAATTAGAAATAAATAGCATGAAGAAGAGAGACGTTCATGCATTTTTTTCCGTAATATATAAATAAATTTTTATTTGTAGCACTTTTTTAAAAAAAAATAATGGTAAATTATAATGCTTGTAATATATCACTAAATGTGTATAAGCGATACATAATTTTTATGTTCTTTAAGGGGAATTAGCTCAGTGGCAGAGCGCTTCCTTAGCAAGGAAGAGGTCATGGGTTCGATCCCCATATTCTCCATTTTATTGTTAAAGTTATATAAGTTTTGCTTGTAAACAATAATTACCATATAGTGTAAAATTTTGTTCTGTATAAACAGCATTTTATCAGAAAAATAATATTCTACACAAAACAGATTGTATTTACAATTTGAAGACACAAAAAAAAACATTATTTAAAATTTACTTTTAAAAAAAAATAATATCTTTAAGAACTATATCGATGTTCCTAAAGAATAGACCTCTAGTCAATGCTAAATTTAATTATTCAAAATAAATTTATAATTAATATTATGGAAAAAAAAGTTAAGTTAAGAAAAAATGAGTAAAGTTAATAAATTTCTAAATTTAAATAATCGTTTTAAACCCGATTTTTATGTATTAAACACAAAATTTACTTACATTTTAACAATAAAGTATTGTTACTACAATTAAACATGTATTTTCGCTTTATTATAGTTGTGCACAGTACAGCTAAAAAACTTAGAGAAAGATGAAACTCTCTTCCCTTTCGTTCATCATGTAATACTACTGATTTTAAAATGATACATTTAAGTTACTCATTATTCATTCGTGTAAAATAAGGAAGAAAAGGTATCTAAGATAAGTTACATCAATAAATATGGTTTTTACTAAAAAGCGTTTTTTTTATGGGCCAGTCTATAATATTTTTGTCTGAAACAAGCATCTTTTCGACCTAGGTTCCATCAATTATGTTTTAAATTTTCAAACATTCTTTTTAAATTAATCCTTAAAAATGGAACAAAATATGCATTCAACAATTGCATATTTTTTACAAATTGTTTGTACATTTTGTGCATTTTTTTATGTAATTTTTTTTATAAATTTATGTTTTGTTTTAGGCGGCATTTTTTCCCTCCTTTTCATCAGCTTAAAATATAAAATAAAAAAAATTACAGCCCTTAAATGGCATCAGGCAAAGGAGGAAAAAAAGATCCACAATCTCAATCACACATGGACGATAATTCATCAGCAGGAGTTTTTAAATCATCACAAATTAAGAAAATTTTAAAAAATTGTAGTAAACAAAGAATTTCTAAGGATGCTTGTAAAGCAGTCTCTGCTGTATTAATATACATTATGAGTGAAATAATGGATGGAGCTAGGAACACTGCAAATGCAGACGGAAAGAAAAAAATATTACCTAAACATATAAATAGTGCTATATGTAAAGATGTGGAATTAAATCATATAGGACATAATTGGATTATAAAAAGCGGAGGTGTAAAATCAGGGGCGTTGCCACAAGAAATGTCTAAAAAATCTGATTAAAAGTTAATAAAACTTTTATGTTATTTTTTTAGAATGACAGTTTGTTCGTTAATAAACAAACTTTTTTTTACATTTAATTTGAAAAAAAATTGGCATAATGACAAAAAAAATTCGGGTGTGTAAAAATTTTACTTATTATTCGATAATCAAAGAAGCAATTCTAGCACAAAAAGGACAAAAGGCCACATCAACACAAATTTTTAATTATATAACAAATAAACATCCTCATTTATTTAAACAAAGTAACTCTATGACTTGGAAGGGAAATATTAGGCAACTGTTAAGTAAAAATCCGGAATTTGTTAAGCTTCAAAAAGATGAAATTTCAAAATTACACTATTGGAGATTTGTTCCAATTGAAGAAATTATTGAAAATGAGAAAGAGATGAGCTATGAACATAATTTTATGCAATTTAGAAATGATCATGCCAATTATTTTAACTATTATCAAAGTTCACATAGATGTCCTATGCAAAATTCTGTTTATAATTATTATCCTGAATATCCATCTTACACGTCACAATTCCAAGAGCAATTCTTTGGATATAAGCATCACTCTTCTGGATTTACTAATCATATGGCAAATCGTAATAATACAGATTTTTATTCTATGGGAAAAAATTGTTATGTGGATAATTTATTTAATAATAATACTCAGTTTAATGATCCTTATTTAGTATATAATTATAACACATTTATGCCCTCAAATAGAAAAGATTATGAATGTAATAAAGAAGATATTAAAAGTAAAATAATGGCCGCAAATGTTCTTAATGAACTAAGGGATTATCAGGAAGACTTTCATAAAAATAGTAGAAAAACGTACCGAGATTTTAATGAAAAACCATTTAATTGTTCTGAAGCATTTGCAGATATACAAAATAATGAATTTTTATCAGAAAATAAAATATTTAAAAATTGTGAACCTGATAATAACGATCCTGTGAAAAATAAAGCTACTGTTAATGGTAACATAAAAAATGAATATCAAGATAAAAGTATTACTACCCATTCAGATCAGGTATATGAATCATTTGACAAGAAATGTACACTAAATAATAATAATGATGAAAATTTACAAAAATACAAAATAGCCAATCTAGAAAGTTATGAAAACTTTTACAATACAAATAAAAGTTTTAAAAATAAAATGAGTACAGAAAAAACCTTAAATTCAAACATAGAATATCATAATAAAAAAAATGTCATTTATGATAATTTTTTACAAGAAAAAAACAATTGTGAAAAAGATAAAATTGATGTGTTTATCGATCTACGAAATAATACAACTTCTGGCAAATTTAAAAACAATAATACAGCCTCTTTAAGCTTATCAGATATTGTAGATAATTTAGATTTTGCTAATAAAGAATCTTTGAGTGTAATTGAACTTCCCGATGTAAAAGTATGCAGTGAAAAGATATGTAGTAAATCGGAAGATCAAGCACAAATACTAATTAGAAGAAGGAAGTGTACAAGTAAGCCTATAAATTCTAAACAAAGTACCCTTGATAAAAATTTAAGTTTAAGTAGGGAAGAAAGTAAAAGTGTTGCTTTAGAAACCAAAACTCAACAGAATTCTTCCAAACATAAAACTAAAGGTTCTGAGAAAGTGTGTAAAAAATTTAAAAAATAAATTGTTTCGAATTAATTTATATTTTTTACAAATAGTTTATCCCTCATATGAAAATTTATAACTTATTTACAAAGACAGAGTCAAAAAAGCCTGTATCAATTTTTAGTTTAGATATATTTGAAAATTTTTTGATTATTGCAAGCACGAATGGTGACATAGACTTATACAAAGATAAATATACTATTTATAAAACTGTCAGGAAACACGCTGGTGCTGTATTGTGTGTAAGATTTAATCAGCATGGTTCTTTAATTGCTTCATGTGGTGATGATGGTGCAGTAATAGTCTACGATATAGATTTAAATGTTATTAATTTTTTTAAATTTCATTCTGGTGATGTTACTAATGTTTTTTGGACCAACAAGTATTTAATAAGTGTTGGTCACGATGGGTGCATAATTTTTTATGATGAAAAACATTTTAATGTTATAGCAAAAATAAAATCGCATGAAAATAAAATTACAGGAATCGGAGGAAACAAAAAAAATAATTTTATCTGTACACAAGGAGATGATGGTATTGTGTTGTATAAAGATCATTCTGTCTATAAAAAGATTCCACCTAACGAAGGTGTAATTCTAGAATCATTTTTTTCTAGAATGAGTTGGTCTCCTGATGGATCTATTTTTTCGTGTGGTCTATCTTTTAATCAAAAAGTCAATTCAATAGAAATCTACAACCTAGAAATGGAATCAAAGTATTCTTTACTAGGACATGTTGCACCTTGTGAAGTAACATGTTTTAATCCCAAGACATTTATTAATGGTGTAAAACAATATTATATTTTAGCAGTAGGCTCACAAGATTTGTCTATAAGTTTATGGACAACACTTTCTCCTTATCCTTTTTTATTAATTAAAAATGTTTGTGAGATGCCAATATTAGACTTAGCTTGGTCTCTTGATGGTACAAATTTATATTATTGTTCTTATGATGGTACAGTAGGGAAATTGGAGTTTGATTTGAAAGAGTTGGGAAATATTTCTACAGTTGAACATACAACAGAAAATTCTGATTTATTTTTGACGCTTTTGAATGCAGAACTTTATGATAAAAAAATACAAAAATTAATTAACAACAGGATTAATAATACGAGAATGATAAAAAAAAATATAAATAATTTAGAATTACCACAAATATCGAATCAAAATAAAATACATAAAGAACATAATGATAAACTATACAAAGAATCTTTTTTACATGAAAAATCCGAAATTAAAGCGAAAAATAAAAATTTTAAGCATTTAAATATACCTTCAGAGATAAAAAATATACAATATTACATTAATAACGAGAATAATAAATCAGATGTAGATTTTAGATATAAAAGTCAAAATGTTTCTATGGAAGAAAAATTAAAAAAAAATAATAATTTGATAAAAATACAAGATAATGATAGAAATACAAAAACGAGCTTTTTTGACGAATCTGTTTTTTCTAGCAGTGATAATTTTAATTATAAAAAAGAAACTCCTCCTTCAACGTATAAATCAAATGATCAGTATTTTGATAGTTTAAATCCTTCTCTTCGTAATCAGCACATGCAAAATTATTCAGAAGGTATTAGACAAAATTTTAATCCATTTCATAATAATTATGAAATGCATAGAAGACCATTTATTCCACCGCCTGGTCATTTTAATATGGATGGTATGCCTATGTATCCACCTTATATGCATAATAATAGAATGATGCATATGCAGAATTATGATCTTAATATGACGATGAAACCTAATTTTATGCAACACACACAAAGAAATGATATTAGAACATTAAGAGATCACGAACAATCACGTTGTGATAAAATTTCAGAAGACAAATTGCAAAAACTTGAACCATTAAACACTGAGGATGTAGGATTAAGAAAAAAAGATATAATTGAACAAGTAGAAAATAATGAGAAATGTAAAACAGAACCCGAATTATCTGTTAATGAAAAAAGCAATAATTTACCGACAAAAAATGAACAGCCCAATTTAACTACAAAAGTTATAAAACGAAAAGTTGTTAAGCCTGTTCTTTTAGATGATAAAAAAGAAGCACCAGTTGAGGTTTCGATGTTTAATTATAAACAATCTGTTAGAATTGAAAATGGAGTAATTGAAGAATTTTATAAAGATTTTGGAGATTATTCTATTGAACTAAATTCAGAAAAAACAAAATTAACAATAAAAAGATGTAAAAAAGATTTTTTTGAAATTTACGGAAAGTTTAATTTTCTGTGTGCATCCAAAAGATACATTTGTGTTTACACCACAAATATTGAAATATACGATTTAAGAACTGGTACGCTTGTATGTCCATTCATTGGTGCAGGTTCAGTAATTTATATGGATATTTGTGACACCAACCTTTTATTTTTAGAAGGAGATGGTACTGTTGGTATTTTTGATATAAAACGCAATTCCCTGTTAAATACACGTGTTCCACGGTATGAAACAGTAGTGCGAATTAGATTTAGTAAATTGTATTTTATAATTTGTGAATACAAAGATTCTGAATATATATTAGATAAAAATACTAAATTATGGTATTTATTACGTAAAGATTGGAATGACTTGTCTACTACAAATATAGATTACGAAAATACGGTAGATGAGACCATTAAAAAATTAGAAAACAAATTTTTAATCAATTTCAAAAATAAAAGACACGATAAGCTTAAAAAAATTACAAAAAAAATGATAAAAATATTAATGAACATAAAATTAACTGATCAATATGAAAATATTATAAAAAAAGTTTTTATAGATTTAATTAAATTAGGACATAAAAAATTTGTTATAAGATGTTTAGAAAAATTAAGTAAAAAATTCAATCTACAATATTTTATTGTAGATGTTATGAAAAATATGTGAAATACATTTATAAATAAATTTAATTTGCAATATAAATCTTTTTTATGTCTTTTAATAAAAGTTTAACTTGTACAAGTAGTTGTGGACATAATTGGTTAGCTTAAACGGTATTTAATACATAACAAAAGACTGCTTTTATCGCTTACTGCTATATACAAATGGTTATAAATTATAATTGGTTAGTTTAAACGATTTAAATACATAACAAAAGACTGCTTTTATCGCTTAATGCTGCATACAAATGATTATAAGTAAAGATGGGTGTTATTTTGATATATAAATATTGATTTTCTAAAAACAAAAAAGGAACACAGTAAACCATTGAACTTTGGTACAAATAATATAAAAGACGTGTACAGATGTATTGTATTTATGAAGTTGTTATACCCGATTATTTTATATTTATTAACTAACCTCTACAATTACAAGCATTAACTTTTATAAGTAAGTAAATAATACTATTTACAGTCTTACAAGCACTTTTTTTAAAATATATTGCTTTATACATATGTATTTTTTATTGATAAAAAATCATTTTAATTTAAAAATTTTAACTAACAAAAAATATGTTGTATTTTTAAAAGTAAAAACTTCTTATTTTAACATTAATGTAAAATTCTATTAAATAATATATGTAAAAAAATTTATCAAAGCTTAGAAGGGATAAACTGAGAATTAAAGAAATATTATGTTGTGATTTAATAAGTAATCTGAAAATTTTGTAATTAAGAACGCTACGGGAATCTGATCAACTAACATTCCTTCAAAAATAATCAATCAATAAATAGATTATATTAAAAATAAATTTAATTGTATGTATATGTCAACACATACGAATATTACACCTTAAAATTAAATACATTAATTTATTTTATATAATTCCTTTATGTTTTGTTTATTAAAGATATTAATTAGATTAAAAAGGGGGGGAAGGTATTAATTCCATTTAAAAAAAAGATTTTTACCCCAATATGAATACTTCTAAAAAAAACATTTTAGAATTCAATAATTTAACATATTATGGAGACCCTTACAAAGAAGACAATTTAGATATTCCTTCTATTAAAATATCCGCTGTTTCTGGTAAATTCGTTTCCGGTGAAATTTATTACGCACTTTTTAATTTTTGGGAAAATCAATATAAGTTTTTAGAATTTTTTAGTGGTAGAATGAATAGACATGTAAAAACATACGGAGAAGTTTTGTACAACGGTGAAGAAAGAGAATGGGATGATTGGTCTAAGAAAAGTTGTTTTATTATTCTTGACTCTTCATTCAATAAATATAATAATATTATATTATATTTAGAAGCCAATTTAAAAATGATTTATCCTGACAGAGTAGATTTTAATGATATGATACAAGAAATTATGACTAAATCTTATAATATAATTGAGGAAAGTGGTATAAAAATAAATGATATTAATATTACAAGTTACATAGTGGCGTGTACACTGTTAAATCCAGATGTATTATTTATCGCAAATTATTTTATTATGACAAGCCCAGAAGACAGAACGTTTTTAGACTTGTATTTAAGACAATATGTAAAAGATAATAACACTATTTTGGTTTTATTAGATGCTGTAGATATATATGATAATGCTTTTATTAGTACATTAAAAAGTAATATATTGGTATTTAATTTGGGTGTACTGGTGTATAGTGGGTTATCTGAAGAATATTATAACAGTATGTACAATATTGCTAAAAAAATATATCCAAAGATAAACAACGAACAGGATATATTAGATGTTGCGAATGACGCCATTTGCGAAGAAAATAACAAATGTTTACAAGATCTACAGTTAGAAACAAAAAGTAAATCTTCTAATAACATCTACATTACAACGGCAGAAATTAATCGTAAAGATGTAATTGACATCATAAAAATTAGATTGTTATATTCATTTTACTTTCCTCAGCTCCATATAACCACAACAGCAGCTTTATTTTTTATTTTCAATTTTGCGCTTTATTTAAGTAATGATGCTACTAATTTACAAGCGCATAGTTTAACATCTGATCCACGAAAATGTGGATTTATAGATTCATTTTATATTGCGCTTCTTCTTTTTAAAAAATATTATATTTTTTTAAGTACATCTGTCATTGTGTTTACATTCACTGATGCTATGATTCGCAGAGATTATAGCGATTTTTTATATTCAAAACTTTTATCACCGAGTTCTGTCATTTTAGCTAAATACTTGTTTTATAATGCACCTGGTTATTTGATTTTTGCTCTAATTATGTTTTTAAACTTACTTTATAATCAAAGTAATATTAATTTATACAGTACAGTTTTCTTGATTATTTTAGGATTTTTTCATTTATTTTTAATAGAACGCTTTAGTCTTCTACTTGAATCATTATGTAGTATTAAAACTTCTAAAATAATTTCAATGATTTATTTAATAATCTCTGTATTTATGATGAATTTTAATTTATATTATGATGATTTCGTAAGGTTTGTTTATTTATTTTTGTGCTTTTTAGATCCGTCATTTCTTCTTATTTTTATATCAGAATATTTTTTGTTAAAATACGCTCTTAAGTCAACTGCGTCATTGATTTTTAAAAAATTTTATATTGACAATCAATCAAATCTGATCAATGCGCTAAAAAGTAAGAATGGATATTTTTTAGCTGATGTTATAAATAAAAAAGAAACAATAAAATGTGAAGATGTTTTGGAATTGGTTGGTCTACCTAAAAATATTTTTTTAGTTATATTATTATTTGTTAGTGTACTTAGTACAGTGACTGTAGTGGGATTTTTTTTATGGAGAAAAAAAATTTTACCAAATATACGGCTAAAATACAGCTAATTATTTATTATAAAATAAATTATGTGATGTCATAACATTGCTTAAATAAATAATTTGTTTTTTTAGGAGTATTAAATTAATTTATTATTGATTTTAAAATCGTAAACTGGTTGACTAAATAATTTAATATTATTAAGGTTCTAATGTTGATTTTAAGCATCATGCTTTTAAATTTTTTTAAGGTTTGATTTCCAAAATTTGTTCAAAATTATTAAGGCGTTTTTTAACATTTATACCTTATATTTTATTAAATGAGATAAATATAACAACCAAACTGTTATTAAAAATTATTTTATTTTTAATTATTTTCTGTTCTGTTTATCAATTTTGTCTTAAGATATTTTTCTGTTTCTTTTTCATCATTCCACAACTTTTCATAATGCTTTGTTTTAGGTGCATTTAGAGGCCTTATTTTACCGGTAATATCTCTATCTTTGTAACCCCGATCCATTGTTCCACATATGCACCACATAACACCCGTATATCCATTAGGATCATTACCATCAATAGAATATTTATCATTAAGTTCAATACCAATTTTAACTGCTTCTTCTGGTGTTTTAGTCCATTTTACAAGCTGCTTGGCCCAGTACATTCTTACATATCCATGAATTTTATTCAATTTTAATAGTTGATTTTCCGCAGCATTCCAGAAACTATCATTCGTTTTACCGAACTCTAATTCTTCTTTTGTGTACAAATGCTCCCTTTCATCTTTTGCATGTTCGTGTAAGCTATCTCTTGCCCACTCAAGTGCACCCATAATGTTATCATAATCTTTATTGTGATAACAAAAATGTTCTGATGTTTCTCTCCATATAAATATTTCTGCTACATACCCGTCAAGATTGTCTTTATCTTTTTTGTAAAATTTTTCATAAGCCAATTTAATAATTTTTTGCGGGCTTAAAATCCCAAGGTGTATGTACGGCGATAGATTACTTAAGCCATCTACATCTGGATTATTGCGACATTCGTTATAAATATGAAACTTGTTATTAAAAAAATCATCCATAACTTTCAGACCTGCTGAATATGTTCCTTGATAGTACTTTGCAGGTTCATATTTTGGAATATTGCATTTAAAACTCGACACCTTTTTTTTATCGTTAAATTTATGAGGTTCAAGAGTGTCCCAGGCATTTATTATAAATTTCATATTTTTGCTTGTAAAATTCGAATCATTTACGCTTTTTTCAAGTTGTAGATCGTCATATTCGTTCAGGTATTCGAAAAAATGTTTAAAAAGCTGAATTTTTACAGAACTGCTTGTTCTTTTGTAAACATCAAGAATTTTACACGGAACAATGTTATGACTGTCTATTTGAATACAAAACAGTTTATCTTTTGTACACAAATCCTTTATATTATTACAAAACGCAATATGCTCTCGTAAAGGAGACCAATCAAGAATTATATTTTTTATTTTATTGGTTTTAACAAATGTGTTAACATTATCAAGGATTGTTAAATATAAGTTTTGTTTTATAGATTCTTTTCTTAGGTCTTCAATATTTTCAAGTATTAAACTGTACTGTACATCATTACATTTAATATCTTTAATAGGGACACCTATAAACATTTGTGATTGATAGTGATATGATAAGTTATAAGCATAGTGAATACAATGGTTGTTAAGTAGCCTTAAATCCCTCATAGAAATATATAGAACATTGCCTTTTATTGGAGAATTTGCTAATACTGTTAAACGATCTTTCATAAAAAAATAAGGTAAAAATTATTAAATACAAACAATGATATCACAAAACAAATTGGTGACATATAAACAAAAAAAAATTAATCGTTTTATTGATTTTTTGCATTCATTTTTGATACAAAATTATAATTTATCCCTTAGATTGACATGTAGCAAGTATTTGTTTTAATAATTTTTTATATTTACACCATGGGTCGTTTACAAACATATCAAAAATTTCCTCTAAATATTTACTACAGAATATCAGTAGAGCTTGGGTTGCCTTTGCTTACAAGAACAGAAAGAATCTTTATTTATTTCTATTTAGCTCTTCTTTTACATTCATTTGTTAAAAGTATTTACAATATGCTAATGTATATCTATAATATTAAACCTATAGATATATTAGACTATCTATCAACTTTCTATAAATAAAAATTTACATTTTATAAGTACATCAATATATCTTAAAAATAAGTGGTTTTTAAAACATAAGTGATTACATAATATTTTATTAAAACTTAGCAATGTGTTCTAAAGAAATATTTTATCATTTTTTTTAAGTGTTAAAAAGTATACCCTCAAATGACTGTTTTATGGACTGAAAAGTATCGACCTCAAAATATTTCGACATTTGAATCACTCCCACACATCAAAAACTTCTTAAATATGTCTTCTCCAAATGACTTTCCAAATTTACTGTTATATGGACCACCTGGTACGGGAAAAACAACATTTGCTCATCTTTTGGCCTCAACTAATAAATTAGAACTCAATGCGAGTGACGAACGAGGTATAAATGTAATTAGAGATAAAATAAAATCATATTCTCAAACTCTAAAAAAAAACAAAACTATTATTTTAGATGAATGCGAAAATTTAACAGAGGATGCGCAACATTGTCTTAGACGTATTATCGAAGATAGTGTTAATACAAGGTTTATTTTTACTACTAATTACCTTTCAAAGGTAATTTCGCCCTTAAAAAGCAGATTAGTTAAATTGAAATTTGAAATACGATTTAGTAACACGCTAAATAAAATAGGTAAGGCTGAAAATCTCACTTACGATGAAGATTTCTACAAAAAATTGTTTTATAAGTGCAACTGTGATCTAAGAAGATCTATTAATGTACTACAAGCACTCGCGCCTTTGCAAAGCATAAATAATAATACTAAGAATGATTTAATAGACGACATTATAGGAATTATACCAGAAGAAATTTTTATAAAATTTAAAAGCATTACAAAAAATAGCTACAATTCATTTATAAATGACTTTTTATTTGAAGGATATTCAGTTATTCAGTTTATACACCAATTAAGCGATTTTGAAATTTTTAGTAAAGAGATATTAAAAGCCAAATTCAATTTATTGTTGTGCGAAATTGAAGAAAAACTTATTGTTGGGTGTTCTGATGAAATTACATTAACCAAGGTGTGTTTATACAAGATATCATTAGAATAAATCTATTTAAAGTTAAATGCTTTCTTTTTCTGTATCATTCGTTTTAATCGTCTATAATAGCCCCATTTTGCCAAACTTTCGCTATCAAAATATTTTTCTTTACAATCTTGTATTTTTAAATCTATTTTACTTTCTAAATCAAATAAGTTTTGTTCTGTTGCGTCAGTAATTTGTTCCTCTAATTCTAGTATCTCCAATAAGAATTTTTGGTCCAAACTATCTTTAACGTCTGAATTATAAAGATATTTAGCTCTAAGATAATCATCTTTTAATGTTTTATATGCCATATTTAGCTGTTGTACCAAATTTGGATCATTATTTGTAATATCAGGGTGATACTTTCTGTTAAGATCGTAGTAAGCAGTTTTTAATGCGTTTGTATCAATGTTGTATGATTGGTTTAAATTAAAAAGAGAAAAGTAATTTTTTGAAGGAAGCATTTTAGGGATGAAATGTAAAATTTTTATAAGAATCAAAGTAAAAAATAAGATTATTAAGTATTTATATTTAAACACTTCTATAAACAAATTAAAATATATTATAGCTTCTAAAAAAACTTGATTTAAATATTATCATTGAATGTATTGTATGCCTGTACGATTTAAAAAAAAATATTTTCTTGACCCATTATGAAGAAAAAAATAGTTGAACAAAAAAGATCAATTTTTTATCAAGAACAGATACAAGAAGAAAATTCATCATTAAATAACTTTAAAATACCGGAGTCCTGTAAAAATGCAAAAATGACGGAACCACATAAAAAGACAAAAACGACGGAACCACATAAAAATACAAAAACGACGGAACCACATAAAAATACAAAAATGACGGAGCCACATAAAAATACTGCATCTTTAAAAGAACCACGTAAAAGTGCAAAAATGACGGAGCCACATAAAAATACTGCATCTTTTAAAGAACCACGTAAAAGTGCAAAATTAACGGAACAATCTGAAAATAAAAAAATTACGGAATCACATAAAAATAAAAAAATGACGGAACCACATAAAAATATTGCATCTTTAAAAGAATCACATAGAAATAAAAAGCTTATAAAAAAACAAAAGCGAAATGCTGATATAAAAGCTGGAATAAAAAAAAAGAAAATTGAAGATAATACAAAAGAACAAAATAACAATTCCCTTACAAAAACAGGACAAATACAAAAAACCAGTACAGATGCTTTGTCGAAAAAAAATAAATCAGAAGGTATTGGTGTCAAATTGTCAAAGCTGGAAAAAGAACTTCTACACAAAGGAACTATTAAAGATAAAATTAATCTTTTAACACTTCTTGTGGAGAAAAATCCATCAGAATTTAATTATAAAAATTTATTATTTTACACAGAGAACCAAAGAAATGATATTATTTATCTAACTCTAAAAAATATTAAAGACTTATTACTTTCTAAGGGTGTCCCGGAGAGTAATTATATAAAACAAAGAATTACAAAATGTTTTGAGATAAATGTTAAAAATACTTTTATAAAGACAAAGGTTATAAGATTAGTTTATGATTTACTTAAAAATGATATCCTTTTTTTAGATTTAATATATTCGTTTATAAATAAAATTGGTGATAAAAAAGAAATAGAAGCATATATTTGCGAAAATCTTAGGCCATTGTTTTTCATTAACGAAGAGGCCATATTATATAATATCGAAGATTTTATTTGTAAAAATATGAATTTTAAGTGTATTAATTCTATATTAAAATTTTTAAGATGTGTATCGCCAACTGATAAATGTAAAATGATCGAAATTTATAAATTGATCTTAGATCACATTTCTGAATTTAAGGATGAACAAAAAAATATTATTTTAGAGCGTAGTCTTGAGCAGTTTAGTGCTCTATTAGAGGAAATTGATGATCCTACCATTTTTGTTAACAAAGAAATCGAAGATCTTATAAAAGTATCTTATGCAACAGATAAGATGGCCTTTAGTGGTGTAAAAATATTATTTAGATGTCAATGTAAGATTTTGAAGCCTTTTATTGTTCAACTGTTAAAAAATCACATATTTTTTAATTTTAAAGATATTAGAAATGTATTTCAATTTATTTTACAAATTTATAAAAAAGATAAAGATAATGAATTTATAAAAAATATACTTAGTAGTATTATATTTTATAAAAAAGATTTATTAATAGCAATTCTACTTTTGTGCGCAAAAAATAGAATATCTAATGTTAGTGTATTAGAAATATTAAAAAATCATTATTCCAATATTGTGCGAAAAATGGTAAATTCAATTCTAACAAAAGAATACAATGTGATAGAAATCAATCCATTTGATAAATTACAATTAGAAGCATACGAAGAAGTTTATAAATAAATATTAATTTAATACATTAGAAATAATTTAAATAAGTTTAATAAATAATTGTTTTTTACCAAGCACCTAACTCTTCATCACTGGACTCACAGGTGTTTGTAATCTTTAAGTCTTCAAGCTGCGATTCAATAGGTTGTTCTTGTGATTTACTAGATGTATTAATATATTGCATATTTTTTACAGTTTTTTTATATTTATAAATATTCTCGTTTTTTCGAGGCTTAAAAGCCTTGTTTACTGATGTAAATTCTTTTTTACTGGCATCAGCATTCCGTTGTAATAAAACTTTCGGAATTTCTTTTTTGTTGTCACTAAAAATTTTTATAAGACCATCTACAATATTGGAATTATATTTCCAATCAAAAAATGATATAGCTCTGCCTTCTTCTCCTGCACGACCAGTTCTTCCAATTCTATGTATATATTCATCGATCGTCCTAGGTAGATCATAATTAATAACTAATTTAACTTCTCTGATATCAAGTCCTCTAGCAGCAACATTTGTCGCAATTAAAATAGATGATAATCCCGATTTAAATTTAGAAATAGCTTCATTTCTCTCGTATTGACTTTTATCACCGTGCAAAGTAACAGAATTATACCCTTTAGAATTTAGTAAGTTTGCTACTTTAAGGCAATCTACTTTTCGTTCTACAAAAATCATCACTTTTTCACTTTCTACTGTCTCTCTCCAATTTCCGACAAGAGTTAGACTTTTCAAAACTTCTACTATTTTATCTATTTTTTTAAAGTTTGGATATATTTCCTGTTTTACATTAGTTTTTATTTCAAAATCTGCCTCAAAATACACCCTATCGGGTTTTGTAATTAAATTAAATATGTCTCGTATCTCCTTACAATATGTTGCGGAAAACATACATGTCTGTACATCTTTTTTAATAAAACTTTTTATGGTATCTATTTGTCTTTTAAAGGTTGAATCGTATAGTTTATCTGCCTCATCAAATACAATTGTATCTAAATTATCAAAATTGATAAATTTCTTTTCAAGATTAAAAATTAATCTTCCCGGTGTAGCTATAATAATATTAGCATCACTATAATCAACAAGTTCCTGTTTATCGCTACGTATTGTCATAACAGAAATTGGTTGATTTGCTGTTTTAGGATTGTAGTATAAATCACAATTTTCATTTTTTTTATTAACAAATAATTTTTTTGTAAGTTCTAAACATACGCTTTTTATTTGATCGCACAGTTCTCTAACAGGACATATTATTACTGCTTTACTGTTAGGATTTTTTAAAATTTTTTGTATCACAGGAATAATATAACAAAGGGTTTTACCTGACCCAGTAGGTGCTTTACATATTAAATCCACTCCTTGTGATATTAATGGAAGTATGTATTGCTGAATAGTGTTTAGCTTTTTTATTTTTAGATTTATGTTTTTAGCTAGTGGTTTGTTAAGAGTTGAAAAATCAACTAAAGGATTAATCTTTTTTGTAGAAGATATTTTTATGTTGTCTATCGTTAATTCTATTTCTTTATTCTCTTTTGTAAACATGGGTTAGAAATTTTAAAAAATTTTATTAATAGAAGTTAGTTATTTATAGAAATAAAATAAATTGATCATAGATTTATTTAATAAATATTATTTAATAGGTACTATAAAGTTTTTATAAGAATTTTTAATAATTTTGATAATTAAATTTATATAAATTTTTAACATATTTATGTGTGACAATATACAGCTGAGGTATACTTTAATATAAACATACATAATATTGTATATATTTTTATTATTTACAATGTGATATATTGACTATAAAATTTACATATGTAATAAAATTAATTTACAAATATTCCCTAAATGTTTTTATTTTAGTATTTACAGTAAAAACTCGTTAACTTTGTTAGTTGTGTTTTTTTGGTTACTAAAAAATAAAATAGTTTTAATTACTCAGTGATACAAAAAATCAATATATGATAAATTAACATTAAAAAATAACGAAATACTATCTAAATATTATTTTTTATTTTTTCTAATTCGTTTTTTTGATAATTTAAACTTCCTTTTACTTTTTCGTGTAAAAAGTTCTTTCCTCTCTTCTTTTGTATATTTTTTAGCATACATTTCTCGTTTTTCTTCTTTTGATAATTTTTTGTGAATGTATGCTAATTCTTTGCCGTTATTTTTTTTATTTTTTAAAACATTAATAACTGACCGATAAGCGTATGCTATACTTTTATTTTTCAGTCCTTTAAAACATTCTACATAATTTAAAATACATTCTTTGAGTGTCTCGCAGAATAAATTATTTTCATCATTCGATTTACATTTAATTGTATCTTCATCATCAATTGTATCTTCATCATCAAATGTATCCTCATCATCAAATGCATCCTCATCATCAATTGTATCTTCATCATCAAAATTACTAGAAATTACTTTTTTATCAAATTTAATATAAATTCCTCGCATCAATCCAAGCCCATAACAAATCATATCATCATCTTTAAAAGGACTACAAAATGTCTCAGATATAATTTTAACAACATTCATAACCTCTTCTTTGTTAACTGAATCAACTATTACATTCATAAGATCTTTAACATCAGGCTTTTCAGGATCAATCATAGACAAAGCTAAAGGCATCACACTATTTTTAATATTAAACCTTGTTCTAAATAACACAAACACCTTCATTTTATAAACAAGAAATTCTCGTTCATCTTTCCTGCCTACTATTTCTTTATACAACTTATCTCCATATTTTTTACAGTCTTCAGATAACAAAGACATGTCCTTAGTTTCTAAAAAGTATGTATAACAGTATTTGCGCACTTTAGGATTGTCAAAAAGACCAGTACATATAAATTTATCTAAATTTAATTTATATTTAGACGATAAAAAACATATAAAAAAATAACAGAAAAGCTTTTGTTTCTCGTTGCCGGTATTATAATATTCTAATATAATATCTTGATCTGATTCTTGTATAATAGTTTTAATTTTATAGATAAACTTAGGGCAATCAGTTACTTCATCAAGCACAAGTTTAATAAAATCTCGGCTTTTTATTAATTTTTTATATGTAAGTGTAAGATTAGCAGCAATCAATGCATTTTTAAGTTTCATAGTCTTAGATTTACGTACGCTTTCTAAGAATACTGATGGTATAGACGAATCCAGATTAGAATACCTAAGTAAAAAATCCATTGTCTGTCGTATTAATTTTTCTGGTTGTTTGTTTAAATTAAGTAAATGTTCAAAAGAAGAAATTTGTTTTCTAAATTCGTTTATATACGGAGATGGATCTTTATCCATATTTATTGAAAGTGTAGCTATATCCATGGGGTTAAAAATAATAACGTATTATTTAATAAGTAGCGATTTGTTATATAATACCAAAAAATGCCAGATACGGGAATCGAACCCGTGACCAAGCGGCCACAACGCTACGCTCTACCACTAAGCTAATCCAGCCGTTTTAGATAAAAAGATTAAAATATGTTTGTAAGTATTATGTTAATCCAATGTTATAAATCTTTTTAATATTTTAAAAGGAATGTTGATAACGAATTGTTGGATAATTTGTTTATTTAATACAAATTTATTAAAATAAGACATTGAAAATTGTTACTAACTTTTATCATTTAAGTCAGCTAAAAATTAATATAACTTAAAATATAACATTTAATTTACAAAATACATTTATATTAGTACTTTTTTCTAATTTTTAGTTCTTCTGATTCATAGTAAATCTTATTGTTAATATTGAAATTACAATTAAAATAAAAATAAGCACTTTTACATTTACTCCAAAAATATAACGCTCTTCTTTTTTCGCATGTTTATCTTTATAATCATCTTTAAAAACATAATATTTAATAGTTTTCAGTCCTAATTCACATTCTCTTACATCTAAAGTTATTAGATTTATGTCTTCAAAAACGTCTTTTATATCAAATCTATGTTTTTCTATTTCCTCTTCTGTCCCAATAATATCCCGTAACTGATAATTTTCTTCTACAAATTTTTTTAATTTATTAGAAGTAATTGCTATCTGTTTTGTTATTTGATTTATGTCCGATCGTAAATCATTAACTTTTATCATTGTATTACCTTCATCACTAGATCTTACTATTCTTTTTATTATATCTGTAATTTTTTTTAGCCTTTCTTCCGCATCTCTCAACCTTACCTCATTATTTTTTAAATAAATAAATATTGTTTCCAAATCGTTTAAATCATTTTTACTACAATCAACTATAAGTGGATCATAAGTTTTAACTGGTCCGCATTTTTTTTTATATGTAAAGTCAACAACATCCATTTCTTGGGTAGGTGAATAAGATAAATTAACAACTTTATAAACATCAAAGTTTATATTTTCTATCTTAGATTTATCGATAATTTTACCTTCATTTATAAGTTTAAATTTATCCCTTTCAGGTATTAAATTGGTTTTATAAATTTTATTATTAATTTGAACCCCGGTAATCTCATACCTTATTTTAAATAAAGGAGGAACAACAAGATATCCTTCAAATTCTCTATCTTTTTTTAATATAAAGAAACTACAACAATCTGATATTTTAATTAAAGATATAAAGGTATTAAACATAATAATAAGGGCTAAAAATATTAAATTATAATAGTTTATTAAGTCATATAATCCATAATTGATGAACTGTAATACAGAAATATTATCATAAATTTTACACTTTTTTTGTTAATAAAATATACTTTAAATTTTAAAATTAATTTTTCAGTTTGACATTTAATTTATTTTAAAGATAAGAACAAGTTTATTTACATTTAGTTTTAGATTGATGTAAAATAACGAGTTGAAAGTTACTGTATTAAATATTTAACGAATATTGGTTTATAGAAAATAATATTTAACTAATTATAATGATAATATTTTAAAGAAACCTGATAATTAATTTTACAATAAATAAGAAATTGATTTGACTTAAAATGTGAATTTAATTAAATTATTAATATTTTAAAAAATAATATTTTATATTTTTGCATAAAGTTTAAAATAACGAAATTGATAAAAATTAGATAGAAATATAATAGTTATAAAATTATGTTATGTACAAGGTTAGAAATATACTATTTATATTTATTACAAATTATGTCTTCCTTTATTTATAAATTAAAAAGAGCACTCTCTAAGCTTTAAAAATTAAAAAGTAATACAAAAAGATGTATTATTATAAAATGGTAATAGAAGAGTAAATATAGAAAATATAAATTTAAATAGTATTTAAACACGACTAAGTAAATCTTAATAATTCGTATATTCATTAATGCAAGTTATTTTATAATGTAACGTGAGAATAATTGATAAATGTAAATATTATTTATTTAACTACCTTTGTAGAAGGAATGTTTTATAAGTTGTTGTTAAAGTTTTAGAAAGTGACATTTTACAACGAAATAGAAAAAAAGTAATTATGGAAAGTTTTTTATTAACCAAAGGGAATGAATCACCTAGCATTGAGGACTTTCCTAAGTGACTAGTAAAAGGAAACTACAAGGTAAGATTCAAAGCAATTTATTATTCTTAAAGGTTAGAAATATATTTTATAAACAAGGAGACATTGTCCCCACTGTAAATCTCATAGAAAGACGTGGATCATTTAGCTCTCAAGTATCATTAAATTCTAGCTTTTGATTTTGAAAAGACACAACGAGGTGGGCAGGTGTATTCATTTCAAGCTATTTTTTAAATACGGGCTAAAAGGGATAAAGAAGGTATTGGGACATACAATATAGGAGATCATAGAAAATGATAAAGCTGAAATAAAAATTAAACAAAATTAACAAATATAAAATTAATTATAATATGTATGGTATTCTTTTACTTTAAAAAATTTATAATGGAAGTTGTTATTGTCAACCAAGACCAACTTACCATAGTCGAGAATGAAAAGCTAATAAAAAACGATCTTCTTTCAAATAAACTGTGACTAATCTATAAATGTTAGATAAAAATGGTTTTTTATACAATGACATGGGATGATTTTGTAACCAAATATTACAAAGTGTATGAGAGATTTGAAAATTAAATCTTCTAAAAGCATACATTCAGCTTATTATATTGAAGAAGACCTTATAGTTATCTTTTTAAAACAAAAGCGAGGATATTACCAGGAAGAAGTGGCTAAAGCTGTAACTGCACTAGCTGAGAAAATAATTGCAGAAAATGAGGTAACTATTAAAAAAAAGCTAAAATTAATATAATAAACCTGAGAGGTATAAAACAACAATAACTAAGGTATACGAAGTACTACTTTGCTAACTTATGCAAAGATGAAAAAACTAATATAGTTCAACATGTTATTTTATATTTAATTTAAAGGTACAAAAAGAAACGATTTTAAATTAAAAATCTTTTTAAAACTGCCAATTTTTAAAGCGTGTTTTTACAAAAATAAAATTTTTGTAAAACGATCAATAGAATATAATAAAATAAAAAAGATAAATATAGCAATATCTCCCAAATAGATATTTTATAAATATAATAACGTTTAATTTTATAAAATTGATTATCGAAGATAAACACCGATATATTAATTTTCGACATTCACTATAAATAAAAAAGTCTACAAAAAATATGCGAAATAAATAGACATTACGTTTTAAAAAAAAATACATTTATTTTTTTTTCAATCGTTTACATCATAATTTCTAACGTCGTTAATAAATTTTATATAAGCCTCTCTCAAATATTCAGCTCTCAAATAAATATCTCGTAAATAGCAAATAGAATTTTTGAATTCATAAATTGTTTTTGGGACGGGGAAGTTGATACAAATATGGTCAAGATGATTTAGTGATCGCAAACATTTTGCAATATAATAATTAATCAGTAGCCTCTTATCAGAAAATGTATAATAACGAGAAGATGCAAAATCTTGACCAATAATCAACCGTTCAATTTCAACTAAATGAAATCTTAACGGTATAAATAACAGAGATGTACTTATTATAGGAATTTTAGTTGAAATGTAGTCTGAGATTCTCATGACATAGTCATCAGGATTAAATACAGGTTTAAAAAACATCTTTGCAACTTTTTCATAGAAATACATTTTGTTACCGTCATTTAAATAGAGCGGTTTTTTATTAATTTTATATTTTCCATCTTTTATCTTTAGACTTATATCATAATCACCATAAATATCTTTATGAATAAATAAAAGAATATAGGCCCTGTTTCTTTCTTTTATTGTATACAAAAATAAATTTTCAATACATTTGCATCCTAAGATAAAGAATAATAACATTAAGGGAGTAAAATTTACAAAATTTAAAGTTTAAAAAATTTTAATAAAATGTTAAAAGGTGTGTTAGTAAAAATAAAGTTATTATTTAAAATTATGTTTTGATGTTTTTTAATAAACAAAGACAATAGTCATTAAAAATATTTTTTAATTTATTTTATAAAGAATTTTAAAAATTATTTAATGAATAGGTTTTTATAATAATTTATAAAATAAAATTTACAGGTTATTCTTATATAATAATCATGCTATTAAATAATGTAAATAAAGATAATAAAGAAATATCAAATTTTGTAAATGTTCTTGCATTAAACAAACTTCTGATTTTTTATCTTAATTTTAATTAAACTGCGTAGTAAAATTTATAAGAAAATAATATGAATATAAGTAGATTATTAATAAGCTTTGATCATTTTTTTAAATTATAATTAAATTCGTGTTTAATTAAAGGTTGGTTTTAATTTTTATAAAAGTTTTTAAGAACAATAAATAAAATTTGACTCATAAATTATGCTTTCTGCTTGAGAATTAAATCTTTTGTTATTAAGTTTTCTTAAATCATTATTTTTTTAATTATTTAATTAACGTAAGCAGGATTCTTAAACAACAAAATCATAGCTTTACAAATAAAACTTGAATTTCAAATTATTCGAAGACCAGTTAAATTACAAAAATTAAGAGGTTAATTTATACAAAAACAGTACTATTCTAAAAAGAAAATAGGACTTAGATTTAATAATTTTTATAGATAAAAAACGTAGTAAATTAATAAATATAACTGTACAAGAAAAGTAAAGCTTTGTATTTGAAACATTATTTTTACTACCATATTCGTGATTTACAGTATGATAAACCTACACTAGTATTCTATTACTTATAATATTACTAAAGATAATACATTGATTAAAATAAAAATGTACAGCCTTATTGTCAGTTACAACGGACTGACAAAAAAAATTGTCTTAAATGAATCGTTAAAATTTTTATTCTTTCATTTTAAAAAAAACTATTAAAATCTATTTATTAATATATTGTTCAATATCTTCCAGCGCATCACTTTTTCTTTTAAATATCTCGTAACAAGTATCTTCAAATATCCTTTTTGTGTATCTGTCTACAACACATTCTTTTACTTTACTTCTTAAATACTTTAAACCTTCCTGTGTATCATTTTTATAAATCTCGAAAAACTTATGTTTTCTAACAGTCATAAAAGCCATCCGTCTTGCATCTTTATAAGTCCTTTTCTTTAATTCTAACATCCATAAATCACTTTGTCTAGTGTCAACTACATTTCCGCCGAATAAATAAAAAATATTGTTCCATAGCACAAATTGATGTGCCGTTCTCGGCATAGGCCCGGCCGAATCCAGTTCTATTTCTGTCCATTTTCTAAATACAAGACTGTATGAATATAGTGCTGATATGTCAAGTCTGCTTTCTTTATCTTTTCCGTATGTAAAAAGAATAAGAATATCAGTGTTATATAAAATACTTCTTTGTAGTACACGACCATCAGTATAAATAGGAAAGGGAATAGTTTCATACACTGTGTTAGTATCTAAAGAATACAAAGATATAGATTTAAAGTATTCTTTTCCCCTCTGTCCACCTACCACAGCAAGTGTATTGGGATATTCGGGAAGATTTATATGTAACAAGACATGTCCAAGTCTACCTTTTAAAACGGGAGAATCGTGCGATTGAATCGTAGAATCGAGAAGACGTGTCCATTTGGCCGACGATAATTTGTCATCGATTTGAATTTTGTACAGTCCACCAAATGAATCATCAAAATTAGTAGTCTTACCACCAAACATATAAATTAAATTGTGCATGTAAACTAAATAGTGATCATACATGTTTGAGGCAACATCCCCTGTACTATTGTATTTTACCCATTTACCGTTATAAACCCATATATCTGAGCTACTAATTTCACCCGTTCTTTCTGATGTCGGTATATATTTACCTGATAAATATAACCTTTGTCCATCAGTACACATTTTATGACATGATCTTTTTCCAGGGGTATCCTGTAATGTAGTGGTAATGTCTTCTACATATGTAATAGTATTAGCACCACAGTGTTCTTTTTCTATTTCACTTTGTCGTGTTATATTAATTTCTTCTTCGAATGTGGACTGTCCTAATCTCACACTACAGTTCATATTTTTATCACTTACTACATCCTTCTCTATTGTATCATCTTTATACGTATCTCTTTTATTTAAATCTTGGTATAAACACTTCCAACTTCCATTGTAATGCCACATATCACCTAATTCTTCGAGTCCATCCCACCCACCATACAAATAGATTCCTTTACTTGTACATACCATTTGATGTCCACCCCTGGGACAAGGCCAATCTTTATTTTCATTGTTTTTAATTTCAGTCCAGTTACCGTAATACGCCGATTTTTTAACGTACACATCAAATTTATCATCATTTAGATTTAAAATGTAATTTTCTAACTTGTCAAAATCTTTATATTTTATTAACCTTTCTATTTCACTTTCACTATCAAGTATACATTCATTATACTTTTTTAAAATTTTTTTAACTGTCTTTATATCTTGTGTGCGCTGCCTTTCGTACATTATATCATTAAACCTCGTATTACTGATACCTTTAAGTTGTATAAACCATATCGAATAATTAAAATTCATTCCCCAGGCAGCTAAAGGTTCAATTTTCATATATCTACTAATAATTAATTCATCTTGTATATATAAAAGATTATGTGTCTCATTTGTTGTATCATTCTTTAATCCACCATAAAATACTTCTATCCACGATTTTTTATCGTAAGATACACTTATTTTCATCTCTTTTATATTACAAACGTGTATTTTACTAAATTTACCGAATGTTATTGTAGATACAACGGATGATTTATATTCTAGTATTATGTACTGTCTATGATCATTCGTAGTAGTAGACCACCGAGAATTCGCATCGGATGGATTGTCAACTAATATGTTAGAAGGTTTATATGTAGAAGCGTATGAAGAATAACAATCTATTTTATATGGGATAGTCCAAAGAGTATTCTTATTTCTTAGTGTTTCTAAAGTAATATACATATTGTATGAAGGGTAATTGCGTATTATATTTATAGGTACAAAATTCTTAAAAGGGGTAAAATGATTAATTTAAGTTTTTTACTATAAAGTACCAATCATTTTGTTTATTTAAACAAACAAATTATAAATCTTAACAACTAATTTACTATAAATAAATTTGCGATGAAAGAAGCATAAAGAAAAAACCAAACATTAATTACATATTAATTTTTAATACAATTATAGTCCCTTAATCTAAAAAAAATAAAGGTACTACTGATACTAAATTATGTTATATTATGTCTCTTTTAAATCTAATTTAATGATCAAATAATTTTTTTTAGTTTAATTATTAGGCTAGTTAAACAATAATAAGTGATAAATTATTTAGGTTAAAAAGAAATCTATTAAGTTATGTATATAATTATGATATTTTTTAACTTTTAAAAATTAAGCGCTTTATATCATTCTATTAGAAATGTAAATTATTATTTGTGATAATTGATAGAAGGGCTGATAAAATTAAAGTTATTAGAACGCATTTTTAACTTATTTAAGTAGTTTTTTAATGAAACTGCTATAAGTTATGATGTTTTGAAGTGAGAAAAGTACGATATGGAACAAAATGATAGTAGGTTACTACACTATTAAATGTCTTTGCTAATTTCAGGTAAACTGTTGCGATGGAGAAATATTTTTAAAAATGTTATTTAGGCATCTTTATTTATTTTACTTTTAGTTATCAATATACTTGGTTTAACATCTAAACCCACTACAGAAAATAAATTTACAATTCTGTAGATTACAACGTGTAGCTTAACCTTTTTTTAAAATTTTTTATTAATAGTCAAATTTTATGAAATTTTAAAGCGTAATTTAAAATCTTCTAAATCTTTACATTTATTTTACAAGACTTCACACATTTATAAATGTTGTGTTTAATTATTTCTAAAATCATGTAAATAAGAATAGCACAAATATTTATTTTTATCCAATGATAGTGTGTAAATAATGCTTTTATCGAGTTATTATCTTATATAATTTTACAAGTACAATGCATTCGTAATATTCAACAAGATATTAAATAATAGTATTTACCCTTAAATATTGAAATAAAAAATTTTTATTTCGTATTGTAAATAAATGCAGTTGTCACTACCTTTACACTCAAAAGGTAGAGATGGTTTTAAGAAGACTTAGGCTTAATAGATAACATTGTTTATTGATGTTATTAATTATATACTTCTTCTCTCACTCTGAAACATTACGTGTTTCAGGATAGGTCCTGTTCCATACTATCAAATTTGAGTCTTTAATTTTATAACTGAAAAGTTTCTTGTTATTGGTGACAGTAGTTTTATTTAAATAGAATTTTATCTTTGTATTGTTTAAAAAAATCACTTTAGTTTTTATATTTTAATGATTATCTGTTAAATTGTTACAAGTAAACATTTGTCCCTAATATATAAAATAGTAAATTTATGTGTAATCAACCTTTTTCTTAAAATTACTATATTTTTTTCTGTGAGTTTTGCGCAATGCTTATATCAGTTCATTTTTATCAATATATATAAAAAGTTTGAATCCAAATAAATTAATAATATTAACTAATTTTATAATAATTAATTTGTTTTATTGATTAATTCTTATTTAAGAAACGTCAATTTGTCAAATTATTTAAGTATCACATATTATTTTCAGATTACATATACATCACATTTTCTTCTTTTAATAATCTGTTAATTTTATGCATAAACATAAATACATTTCTTTTCTACCTTTTTAAAATTTTTTATGTTTGTTTTTAAACATTTTTTCCCCTTAAAATGGACAACTACAAAAAGAAAGATTTGTTATCATCTCCCAAGTCTGTAAAAACGATAAGTATGAAAAGCAATCTAAAGGACTTGTATACAAAAACGAATGCAGAAGTATATGATTTTTCAAGAAATGAATATATTAAATCATCCAGTAAGGTACAAGATTTAATTAATAAGTATAATAAACCTTTCTCTTCTACTAAAAAGTTAAGTAGTACATTTCATGCTATGAATCCTATAAATGTGCTTTATGTTCCCAGGTCAATTCCTACGAAGAGTTATAATGATCCAGGATGTTTTTCTTACAGCAGTAGTCTTAGAGATTCTTATTCAGTTTCGGAGAAGAGTGCGTATTTTAAAAATAATAATAGTCAGTTATTATCATCTGCAAAATCTTGTAGAGATACAAATAATTCAGGATTATTTAATAGTATTAATTTAAGTGAAAAAACATTTACTGATAGATCTAGTACATTTTCTTCTTTTTATAATAAACGTAATATACCTACGCCATTTAATAAGGGACTAACTAAAGGGTTAGAAGTACAAGCTTGTAAAAGTGAACCGATGAATGGTAGAAAAGGAGATATGTATAAAATTAATGATAGAAAGGAAAACGTGTATAAAATTAATGATATAAAAGAAGATTTGCATAAAATTAATGATACAAAAGAAGATGTTTATAAAATTAATGATAGAATTGAAGATGTTGATAAAGTAAATAGTAGATATGAGTACAATACATTTAATGTAATAAAAGATACTATAAAGCCTTCTTATACCACTCAACAAAGTTGGTCAAGTCCCCAGAATGGAAAATATGTAACATTTAGCAGACCTTCTACACCTAACAAACAGTTATCACATTCTCTTTATGGGCCTGGTGAAGAACTAACTGTACCGTTATCTTTTAAGATATTAAATACTGTTTATTCCTTTGACATGAATTATGAAACTACTACCTACTACATAGAAATATCATCTAATATATCTTGGATAATAAAAAAAGATCTTAAAAGTATATTAAATCTATTAGACTCTTCTATACTGAAAAATAAAGATATTACTAAACCTGTAAGAGATAATATGATTATTACTATGTTAAATACAGCTAAAATATCACCATCTCTACAATATTTTATATTAACAGATATTACTAAAAATATAATAGCAAGAGGTGAATACCTTCTTCTATATAATATTCCTTATATATTTAAATTAGTAGGTAAGGCTCTTGTGTCTTATAATATGCATAAAAGAGTTCATAGGATATTTTTACTGGAAGAGTGTTATATTGAAGATGGAGAAAATGATTACTGTTTCTTAATACGAAATAAAAATGAAAGCGTAGAATTGTATGCTAGTTGTAAAATGGAAAGAGATGAATGGGTTAAAGATATAAATAATTTTATCGAGACTCGGTTGTAATAAAATTATTATATATATTGTATTTGTGTTTAATAAAATATTTAAAGTAATTAAAAAATTTTAAATTAAATACTTGTGGGTAATTAAAAAAACTTTAATTCCAATTGGTGATTAAAAAGACTTTTATTCAAAAACTAGTTGGTAAAACAAGCTGTAATTCCAATTGGTGATTAAAAAGACTTTAATTCAAAGACTGGTTGGTAAAACAAGCTTTAATTCTAATTAGTGATTAAAAAGACTTTTATTAAAAAACTAGTTGGTAAAACAAGCTTTAATTCTAATTAGTGATTAAAAAGACTTTTATTAAAAAACTAGTTGGTAAAACAAGCTTTAATTCCAATTGGTGATTAAAAAGACTTTTATTAAAAAATTAATAAATTATCAAAATTTTTAATTTATCATTGATAAATGATTAAAACTTATAAAACAAACAAACTGTATTTTCATAAAACAAACAAACTATATTTTTATAAAACAAACAAAATATATTTTTTTATAAATTAAACAAACTATAATCTTAAATATATCTTACTAAAAATTCTTTATTAATTTTTTATAATTTAATAAAATTGATAAACTCTAATCATATTTTGTCCTTCTACTAGTATATTACTCTTGCAACTACTAACATTTAGTATCTCCGCATCTCTAATCTTTAAATACATCTTCTTCATACTATTATGATCATATATTACAAGAGCATTATTATTTCCAATTAATATATATTTATCTATAACATTCATGAATTTGACTTCCTCATCTATCTCTATTTCTTTTACCTCCTGAGATACATCATCATAAGAATACAGTGTTATACCTTTTAATAAAATTAAATTATCAATATTATAAATACGTTTTATATCCCCATTTATATTTAAATTGACTGTCTTTACTGTTTTATTTTGTATATCAAAAATTACTAAATTATTTCTTACTGTAATAGAATACCCGATATTATTTATAAGTAGCAGATTAGATCTTATTTCTTCTGATGAATGTAATAATAATACTAATTTATCATTATCATACACCCTAAAAGATTTATCATAACATGTCAAATATATCAATTTATTCTTCACTTTTATGCCAATATGATTAGGCATATTAAGTGTACTTAATAATATAAATGTATTAAGATCATATTTTTTTAAAAAATTATTACTAAAAATGTATAAAAAATCTTCATCATCTAAAAAATATCTTACATATGGACTGTCATATGAATATTTATACTTTTTTATATTATCATCATATTCTATAAATCTATCATTTACTAACATAAACAATTTATTATTAATAAGTATATGTATTATATTCTGAGATAAGAATACAATAATACCACTAGCACTTATTGATGAAAAATAAAGATCTTTAAAATAGAACTTTTTTGTCTGTGAAAGACTAAAATATTTATGTCCTTCAAGTGACCAATCAGATCCAATCTTAAGTAAATTGGTGGTTTTATATATGTTCTTGTAATAGTTAACTTTCCTTTTGTATTCTATGTTACACTCTATAAGTTTCTTATTTTCTATTTTTAGTTTTTTATTCTCTTGTAACAGTACATCATACTGTTGTTTAATGGCTTCTAAATATGTGTTGATATCTGGTTGATACATAAAAGGGTAAAAATTATTAATATTTCTTTAATTTATATTAAAGAATAAAATAGATAATAAATTATTGTAAAAATAATTAGATAAAAATCAACAAATAAAAAAGGTAAATGTATAGAATATTTTCTGATAAATGTAAAATTAAAAAATTAATTTACAAACAAAATCTCAAAATTTAATTTATAAAACAAAAAAAATGATAAATATTTAAAACATTTATATTTTTTTATAAAATAAGAAATTATAAAAAATAATTATTTAAATGGCTTATTTATCATTAAATTCACAAAACATTAACTATTTATGGAATTTTTAACAATTCTTTTCTTTTTTAAACTTTTTATTCATTCTAAAAATTTCAATAGCATAAAAAACCAATACTAAACCTTTTTTTGATATCAATGTAATAAAAAAGAATAAATTTCTTTTTACTAAGGAACATATTGGATTGTAATAAATTAATATGTTTTATATAGTTTTACTGTGCTATTTGTGATATATTCTTCTGATTGATAATTTTATTGTTATTTATTTTTAAAGTGATAAAATTATATAGTTTCGACTTAAACTAATAAATAAGTTACAATTTTAGGATTCTTCTATGTTTACAAATTTTATATGTTAAACTTTTTATCTGAGCTATTGCTTATTAAAATTTTTAATAAATAATTTATATTTAAATTACAAAAAATTATAATTTAATCAAGTATATTAAAGTGTCAATATATTGTATTACAAGAATAATCCTACTAATTTATATAACATAAATAAATAATAGAGTGTAGATTGTATTAAAAGGTGTTAACATCATTCTTTGGCTGTAAAAATTTTTATTAAATTATTTTTTGTCATCAATCTTTTTGTACAAGTATAAACACAATTTCTGTATTTTATCAATATCGTCACACAAATCATTAAGACAAATACTATTAATCGAATCTGACACGCCTCCTCCAAGTAAATATGTGTATACATCATCTTTATTAAAAAAGTACATACCACTATACCCATTTAAATCTACAGATGTACTAATATATTTTCTACCAACCACTAAATGGCATCTACATTTCATTAAGTAATAAATTGAATCTTCCTCTGTAATCTTTTTTTTATCTATAATAACTGTTGTACTAACTGATGAATGTATTAAAAACCTATTTTTGTAATTTAATAGTGAAAAGGAATCAGCAAGTGGAAGGTTACAATTCTTACAATTTACAGTAAAAGGATTCTTGAGGGGTTTGGTAGATGTCATTTGAGGGGTAAAAAAATAAAAATATTTTTTTAAAATGTATCCCTTAATGGGCCGTGAAGAATTTATAAGTTTTTATAAGCCACTGCTTAATTTTACAGATGATGAATGGACAAGATTTATAAATACAATGGAATCAAGATTACCGTCTGCTCTACGTATAACTAATACTAAATTTAAAAATAAAATTGAAATTTTTTTTTTAAAAGAAAAACTTATTTCTAAAAATAAATTTTTTAGAGATGTGTACGATACAGTACATAAAGGAACAAGTCATAAAGATTTTATTATTAATCAGACCAGTGTAGGACACATACAAAAACAAGAGATTGTAAGTATGTTACCAGTTCTTCTTATGGGCCTTAAAGAGAATCACTCTGTTTTAGATATGTGTGCGGCGCCTGGTTCAAAAACGAAACAATTACTAGAGAAGGCTTCTCTGGTAGTAGCGAATGACTGCAGCAGTAAGCGATTAAATATACTGATATCGGAAACTTGTAAAATTCCTCATGCATCGTATTTAGTTGTAAAACACGATGCGTCGGCTTTGCCTGTTTTTAAAACTGATTTCGATCGTGTGTTGTGTGATGTGCCATGTTCGGGCGACGGCACTGCACGAAAAAATCCTCAAATTCTCAACAATTGGAATATTGGTAGTGCTGCAAATTTATCAAATTTACAGTACAGAATTCTTAAACATGCTATTAATTTTGTTAAAAGTGATGGTCTTATTATTTATAGCACTTGTTCGTTAAATCCTATAGAAAACGAACAGGTAGTATTAAAAGCCATTATGCAAGATGATCTTGAGATAGTAGATCTTAGAAAATTTATAGACCATAACATTAGTAAAGACTTTGTTATGAGAGATGGAATAATAATTAAAGATGAAAATGGTTTAAGAACAAATTTTGAAGATTTAAAAAAGTGTATTAGGATTTATCCCCATGATAATGACACAGGTGGGTTTTTTATTGTAGGTCTTAAGAAAAAAAGCGTACAAGAAAAAGACTTTAGGCCTAAAATATGCAAAAATAATTTTTGTGAAATAACTGACGAATGTCGCAGTAAACTTGAGAAAGAATATTCCTTGGAGAAAAAAACACTAATTTGCAGAGGTAAAAATATGAATACGATTTATGAAACTACACCTGAAATTTTAAGTACTATTAATAATAGTAAGTTAAATATCATGCACGTAGGTTATAAAATATTTGAACAATGTAATTTGAACTTGTCTGGTTATAGAATGAAAAATGTGTTTAATAAGAATTTTGATGTAGAGATTTCTGGAAGTGAACCGATTAGAGCTAAAATGGTGTATAAAGAATTTAGAAAGGGGAGTGTTGTAGTTAGGTTGGTAGATTTTGATGTGCTTATAGGAGGTTTTTCCTATGGAAACAAGATTAGTTTGTATATATCTAATAACTTACAAAAAGCTTTATTAGATTTTTTTAATTGAAGACCTGAGAATGTTTATTAATATATTGCAAGCAATTAAATTAATAAAAAATATTCGATATAACATTGTATCTTTTAAATATCGATTGCTTTAAATATTTTACAATATTGAAAAAAATTTAATAGATTATATATAAGTTTATAATATAAATTAAAAAATTGTCGAATTTTTATAAAATTCTTTTAAATCAATAGGTTTAGACATTTTTTTTACAAATATATTTAATAAAGTACAGTAAGTAAACTACAATATTTTGTGCACCAAATTATAAAAGGATTTGATTTGTATATAAAGCTTTTACAAATATATAATTAAATATAATATTCAAGTCTTATAGCTGATTTAAAGATAAAATCATAATAAGAAATATCTAATTAACAAATTAAATTTTTAAAAAAAATTAAATATCAATTTAACTAATATAACCCTTCTCATAAAAATTTCATTTGTCTATAAATGTTAAGTAAGAACTTGCCTTTTTTAGGCTTTGTAATTTTTATTTAAAAAACTTTAATTTAATATTTATAACTTTAATATTAGCAATAAAATAGTAAATTACATAAATACATATAAAATATATGTAATGAGTAACTTAAGCTTAAACTATTTTGAAATTGTTAATTTTTATAGCTGTACACTTTTTTTTAAATAATTTACATTTACTTTATTTGAAATGTTTGACACTTTATAATAATAATAATCTTAAAACACAATTTATCATAAATATATTGATTTTTTCAAAGTATTAAAAATCTTGTTTTTTTAATAATAGGCGGGAAAAAATAATTTAAAAAAGTCAAACAAAAACACAGCATTTATTTAAAAAAAGACTAATTTTTATTAGTTAATTTATATATAAAAAAATTAATATTTTAAGCCCATGGGTTTTGAAGAATTTGCTCTATTTTATCGACAAACTTTAAATTTTACTGAACAAGACTTTTTCAATTTACTTTCTATTTTAGAAAAACCTCTACCTTCGAGTTTAAGAATAACTGATACACCTTTTAAACATTTAATCGAAAAAAGATTAAGTAAAATGAGAAAATCGCAGTTTTTTACTAATGTCTACGAAGCACCTAGACACAGAATTCCTAATAAAAAGTTTATTATCAACCAGACAAAAGCAGGGCACATACAGAGGCAAGAAGTTGTTTCTATGTTACCTGTTTTATTAATGGGAATGGAACCGTCTTTTAGCGTTCTTGATATGTGTGCCGCTCCTGGATCCAAAACAAAACAGCTGTTAGAGATTATTAATGATAAAGGATTGGTAGTATGTAATGAAGTAAAGTTTAAAAGGATGCGAATTCTTGTTTCTGAAACGTGCAAAATACCACGGCGGGGGTTTATGGTTCTAAGGCATGATGCATCTACGCTTCCTGTATTTAAAAAAGATTTTGACCGTGTTTTGTGTGATGTACCATGTTCGGGTGACGGTACAACAAGAAAAAATTATGGTGTAGTTCCTAATTGGTGTATAAATAATGCGCTATCTCTATGTGAATTACAATTTAGTATATTAAAGAATGCAATTAATTTTGTTAAAGATGATGGTCTTATAGTTTACAGTACCTGCTCGTTAAATCCAATTGAGAATGAGTGTATTATTCAAAAAGCTGTTTTAGAATTGGATTTAGAGATCGTAGATTTAAGAAATAATATAAATGAAAAATTTTTATCTAAAAAGTTTAAATTTAGAGAAGGATTAACAAAATGGAATATAAATATTAAAAATTATAATGGAATTAATTTTGAGCCTGTTAATGATAATATAGGATTGTCTAAGTGTATAAGGGTACTCCCACATGATCAAAATACAGGAGGATTTTTTATTACTGGATTAAAAAAAAAGATTAAAAGTTTAAGTGTATTGGATGGTAAAAATGTAAGTGAAAGTATAAATATATATTTATCGGAAATTAATAATTATATAACAGAAAATACTAATAATCTATTAGAAAATACTAATAATCTATTGAAAAATGATATGGAAGCAATAAAAAACAATATAAATTCAATAGAAAATGATATAATAAATGTAGCAGGAAATAATATTAAAATTAATGAAATAGATATTCAATTTAATGAATTAGAAGAATGCATTTCAGATCTTAAATTTAATAAAATTGATACAATAAAAAATAAAAAAGCACGGGGATTTTCTATAATTAGTGATGAACTAAGAGAAGCACTGTCTAAAGAATATAACATTAAAGATAAAATTCTTGTACAAAAAAAAGAAGGAAGTATGTTTATATATGAAGTAAGTCAAGAAGTACTAGAAATAATGAATAATAAAAATCTAACAATTGACTTTTACGGGTATAAATTATTCGAAAAAAATAATTTAAATGAATCAGGTTACATGTTAAAGGCAGTACCAAAAGAAAGCAGTCCTGATTTTGAGATTTCGCAAAAACAACTAGCAGATATTTTATATAATGGTGAGTTACAATATGAATACAAAAAAGGATCAATCATTGTACTATTGAAAGATTTTAATATTATGGTTAGTGGACATTCAAATGGTGATCATATCACTTTAAATATAAATTATAAATTACAAAGAGCACTAAAAGATTATATTAAATAAATAATTGTCTAAACTTTTTTGATAATTTGTAATTTTTTTTAAAATCATGGTTAATAAAAAATTTGAATTTATATAATTCAATGTTTATAAAAAAATGTATTTTTTTTGTAATTTGTGTTATTATTACAAAAATATAAACTTTCTACTTAAGTTAATTAACGATTCTTAAAATGATGAAAGTTTCTTTAAATATTTATAACATTTTTTAAATTAAATTTTTAAATTAAACCTATAAATAAAATATCAAAATTTACCCCACATGCTATCCAACATCAAATCTATCTTACGATTTTCTTGTAATTTGTACAACGTTATAAATATTTGTAACTTTAACAGTAGCTTTGTAGTATCTCCTTTAGCAATCCCAGGTGCTCTAAAAAATTATTCTTTTTCTGCAGATAAATGTGTAGCATTAAATATTGATAGCTTTTTAGGATGTAAAGACAATGGCAAAAAATTTGAACTAGAATATAAAGGTCTTATGGAACATTTGGTATTTGAAATTTATTCTAGATCTGCGAATTTAAGATTCAAGTCTTTGTTTGAAGTTTGTATATTCTTTAGAAACAAAAATGAATGTACTAAGAGTAAAAAGATTCCGTTTTCGAACACATTCTCTTTTCTTGTTTTGTTCGGTGATTTATCTTCTTCTAAACCTCTTTTGACTACTTTTAATGGTGTGCCGTACCGTGGTGCTGGAAATTTTTATGAAAATTGTTTTAAATCTCTTGATCCTAATGTCAATATATTTTTGGCTAGCAATTGCTTTATTTCTGGATATTGGTTAAATTCATTTGTAAAATCATTAGTACCTGAAGAATTTATTGGTTGTACTACAAAAATCGATGTGCATATGCTTCACAGGCAGGATGTATTTAATGTTTATCAAAACGAATATTTTACAAGTGTACAGATACGTTTTATGAAAAAAGAATTTTCTTTTATTGGTATACTTCCTCAAGAGGGTGTATCACTAAGTGAAGTTAATAACTATTTGCTTGAATCGAGATTTATTGAAAATATTACAAGTTTAATGAAACCTACTAAGTTAGATTTAAAAATTCCTCAATTTGCAATAAAATCTAATATTGATATTAAGAATGTACTTTTAGAAGTAGATCAGAATAATACAAATAGTGATCTTAAAAGCATGTTGGAGAATTGTGATTTAAAAAATTTTCCTGGTTTATTTCAAGTTTTAGAATTCAGGTTTTGTAAAGACGGCGTAAATATCTCTGATATGAATACATGTAGTACAGGCATGAAGGAATCTTTAGAAGATGAAGACTTATTAGTACACTTTAATCGTTCATTTTTATTTGTAGTTGTTAGAGAGTCCAGATACAATGAAAAAAATTATCATCTTCCTCTTATTATGGGAACGTATACAGGTTCTATAAATGAATGATTAAGACATTAAAAGGTTCTTTTCTTTATATTATAAACAGTATAGTTCTTGTTAAGTTTATTTTTTTTGTACTTTTTAATATAAAAGCTTTAAGAACGAATCTTGTCTTTTGATATTAATTAAGATACGATCTGTTTTTTTGTTACTATTAATTCATCAATATTAATCATTAATGTTTTAATTATAATGAATAAAGAAATTTTATTAAACACATACTACAACCGTTTAATAAAAATATTTACTTTCATAAGCTATGTATCGTATTTAAAATACAAAAAAGTAGTATACTTTTTGTTAGATAATATCTGTTTACAAGTTTATGAAATAATTGGTTACGTGTAAGTAAGTTCGTAATTCTGTTTAATTTAATATATAATTATTCATGTTTGTTTTTGTTAAAATAATTGTTAAATTTTACTAAACAATATTAATTTAAATAATTATTCATGTTTATTAAAATAACTTGTCAAATTTTACCAAACAACATTAATTTATACAATTATTCATGTTTATTAAAATAACTGTTAAATTTTACCAAACAACATTAATTTAAATAATTATTCATGTTTATTAAAATAACTGTTAAATTTTACCAAACAACATTAATTTAAATAATTATTCATGTTTGTTTTTGTTAAAATAATTGTTAAATTTTAGTAAACAACATTAATTAAAATAATTAGTCAAGTTGTCTTTTTGTTAGAACAACGTGTTAAATTTTACTAAATAAAATTGATTTTTCTTCTGTAATAAATACACAGAGTTGACAAATTATGCTTATAACTGTAAATTTATCTAGTATACTTGTTGTTATCATTTAAACTTCAGTAACCTTTTTTCTGTAAATGTATATTATTTACAAATTCTACCTATAGATACAACTATTTCTAAAATAATAATTTATCTTTATTTTTTTACAAATACAAATGTAATTGGTGTACTGTGTTACTTTTTAAAAATAAATAATTTGAATTCTACCCCTTATTATGGAATCTCTTCTCTATTATATTTTAAAGAATCCCAGTGATGCTATAATTAACCAAATAGAATCGTTATTAGACACACAAGACGGTTTCGAAATGTTTATTTCTTTACTTAATAAAAATAATGTAGTAGCCTATTCTTATATGAAGATGAAAGCAAAAGATTGGATTAACAATCCTATCAGACAAAATTCTATTTTTAAATACAAGAATATGTTTTATAATCTTATAGAAATTTCTACTAATCAAAATTTTACTTTACTATGTGATTTCTTTGAAATATTATTCTATAACTATTTTTACTGGCCTGATTTTATTAATTTTCTAGTCTCCTATAAATATCCTGAAAAATCTTTTAAAGTTTTAAATTCTTGTTTTTATAAATTTAGAAAGCTGCATAAATCAGATAAATTATTTTCAGAAATAATTTATTGTATTGAAAAAACAAAAGTGATTTTTGAGCAATATTACTTTACTCAACAAAAAAGTGAAATTGTTTACGATATTAATTTATTGAATATTTTTTATAGTTTAACTTTTCAAGATATTCATATATTTTTTGAAGAAAATATTGATAAGTTTATATCTACCCTGTGTTTTTTGTTTAAGAAGAAAGAATTACAAGGTACAATTTGTGAGATATATAATTTATTTATAATGAAATATTCAGATTTATTAGATTTTACTAAGATATTGGGTTCAGTTCTTATATCAATTGATTCATTTGATTATAACAAATATTCAGTACTACTAAATATTATTAAGAAGAGGAATACAGAAGCATGTATTAAATTTGAGGATGCATTAGTTAATGCAATTAAACTTGGATCTATTTTAAGTGATAAAGAAAAAGAAGAGATGAATAATTTAGAATATAGTACAAATATATTAAATAATATAGATGTAGAAAGAGGTATTTTAATAGATTTATTATTGAATATTACACGTACAAATGATATATGTGGTAATACTACATTTATTCCTAAATTATTGAGTAATCCACTTACAGAAGAGTCAGAAATATTTTTATATACAGCTCTTAAATTTACTAATGTAGAAATAATGAAGAAGTGTCAGATTATTATAAATAATGCAGATAGTGATAATTATCTATCATTTGCAGCTTTTAGGTACCTTCTTACTATTAAAGAATATTTTTCATGTGATATTAAATATATTGAAAGAGGGCACATTTCTGCTTATTTGTGCTGTGAAATGTATACAAAATATTTACAGAAAATATATCCACTAGAAATACAAATATTAAAAGATACAACACAAGATAGTAATATAGATATTAATATTATATCTAGACTTATGTTATTTTTAAATGGAAATATAGAAGATCAATTTTCTTGTCATCTACTAAATAGAATTATAAAAGTAGATGTAAATTATATGAGTAATGATTTATATTTATTTCTTATAGATTTTTGTAAACTTTACATAAGAAATATAAATAGTCAACTTGCTTTTCAATATATTTTTGACATTTTTGGGATTTTAATAACAAAAGGTAAATTAGATGATAAAATACAATATGAAAAAGATTTTATTTATCTTATAAATATTATAACTACTGAAGAAATTTTTGGAATGTATAATCCTGCTTTTTATCTTTTAAGTCTTGTTATTTTACATGGTACAAATGATTACTCAAGTATATTAAGAATAGTATCACAGAATGCAATATGGACATCTAAAGAACTTTTACTATCAGTGATATGTCTAACAATATCTTTATATAAAAAAAAACATATGTCTGAAGAACAAGTTAATTATATAATAGATTATTTAAGTAGAGGAAATAAATACTTTCCACTGTTGTTATCTGATAATACAACATGTTATTTACAGGATTCTGATGATATAGAAGAATATTTTATATTAAAAAGTATAAATATAACAAGTAAAGAAGAATATATAAAAATCTACAAAAATGCCATTGAATATTTTACAAATAATTTTATAACAAAAAAGAATGCAAGGAGAGTAATAAGATCTTTTTTAAAAGGTAGTGTTATTGTCAATGATATGATGTATAAAAATATTATAGAAAAAAACATGTCTAATCTTTGTTTTAATAATGTGCCTTATTCTATTTACATTAACTTTGAAATTTAGTAAATTTTTTTTATTTAAAAAATATTATATTGATTTTTATTGAATAATTTATTATTAAAAAAACATTTATTAAAATTTTTATTAAATAATTTATTATTGATTTTTATTAAATAATTTATTATATTTATTTTTTATTTAAAAAATATAATATTTTTTTATTATATATTTTTATTTAAAAAACATTTATTATTATCTTTATTAAATAATTTACAATTGTTTTTTTATTTTTTTATTTAAAAAACATTTATATTTATTAAATAATTTATTATTATTTTTTTAATAAATCACCCAACTTATTTTTAATTTTACCTTCACTTGTTTTTACTTCTTGAGTCAACTGATTACTGTATTTATTAATTGTTTCTTGTAATAAAGATAACATAGATTTATTATCTATAATACTAACTATTTCATTTAAATCACTTATACATAATCTTATAAGTTCTTGTATTTCTATTATATATTCATCTAATACTTCTGTTACTTTATTATAAATAGCTTTTTTAATATCTTCTGTAATGTTTTTCTCCTGATCGTCAAACTGTGTTGATTTTTCAGTAATTACAACAAGCAATTTTTTAATTGGTTCTTCATTAAGTAATGAATCTTTTATTACATTTTGTAAATTTGATTCCATAGACTCATAAAGATTCTGGATGATTTCAAATATTTGTAGTTCCTCTTTTTCAATCTCTTCTTCAATAACCTGTTGAATATCAGAATTTTGTAAATCTGTTAATTTTACAAGATCGTCTTTATAATTGTGTAAAATCTCTTTAATGTTTTGTATGACTTGTTCGTTGTTATAAGATGATTTTTTATTTTCCTTTAGTTTATTCTGTATGCTGTTTATAAATACCTTAGATTCTTTTTCAAATATTGTTACATATTCTGAAGAAAAAGATAAATTAAAGATTTCTGATAAATTTGTACCAAGATTATTTTTATCTAAAGAAATATTATTATCATTGTTTTCTAGTTGTGTATGGTCATTAATTTCATCAGATGTCTTAGGTTTTAGTTTACCATTTTCATTATCTCGGTTATCATTTTCTAATATACCATTTTCATTCTCTAGTTTAACATTTTCTATTTTACCATTTTCATTCTCTAATATACCATTTTCTTTCTCTAGTTTATCATTTTCTAGTTTACCATTTTCTGATATACCATTTTCTTTCTCTAATATATCATTTTCATTAGCTCGGTTTTCATTTTCTAGTTTACCATTTTTATTATCTCGATTATCTTTTTCTAATATACCATTTTCTTTCTCTAGTTTATCATTTTCTAGTTTACCATTTTCTAGTTTACCATTTTCATTCTCTAATTTACCATTTTCTAGTTTACCATTTTCATTCTCCAGTGCATCAATACACTTTACAAATAAAATATAATAAATTAATATTTCAAATAAAATAAATTTCATGCTAAATTTTTTTTTTATCTTTTTATATCTTAAAAATGTATAGACCACACTAAAGCAAACAAATTTAATATTTTGTAGATAATATAAAATGTTTTTTTAACAATAATTAATAAAAAATATTAATTTTCTAACCACTGGTACTTACATCAGTCATAATTTGTTCTATAGCATTTAATACATCCTAATATTCTTAATAAAAAATTAGAAGAGTTTTTTGAATTCTTTACTTTTTTATCCTTCTTTATTTTATGCTTATCATTTACTTTCTCTAAATGCAATTTTCTTTGACTAAAATATAATTTTTTATAAAAAAAATTATAAGATTCAAAACAATTCTTAATGCATAAATTCTGGTCTTTATGAATATATTTAAGAGTAGAATTTTTGACAAGCTTATAAATTATCATATATTTCATAATAAAACAAAGCATTTGATAGCTGTTTACATGTAAATGCTCTTTATTATCCAGCTTAAAATAACATTGTACAATATTAATCATATAGTAAGTAATTTTAAAAAAATTCCATTTTTCCTGTAACTTTAAATCATTTGTAAAGATTTTTAAATTATTTAACAATACAATTATCAATACTTTTAAATCATTTGTAAAAATATCAAAATTTTTACATATGCCTGTCAAAACTTTTAAATTTTTAGATGCACCATTTATTTTTGTAAACCTAAAAATTAAAGTGTAACTTTTAATTTCATTAGAAAAATAAAACTTAAAAGCATTTTTATCTACATTATACAGTTCATAAAATTGTGTAGTAAGGTTATCATAAAATTGTGTAGTAAGGTTATCATAAAATTGTGTAGTAAGGTTATCATAAAATTGTGTAGTAAGGTTATCATAAAATTGAGTGATAAGGTTATTAATATTTCTTTCATTTGTTACAATTATCTTATTAAAAATAATAAAATTATATGGTAGATCTTTACTATTAAAAAGTATATGATGTACATTTAATTTCTTATAAAATTTTTTCTGTACAATTATAAAATTTCTACTTTTAACAGTACAATATTCGGAAGATAGCATAAAATAAAAATAGCTTTTACATTTACAATATAGGTCGTCTATTGCTTTTCTTATATAGAAGTTTATTTCTACATTGCCTTTTAATGATGCGTGTGTAGAAGCAGTGTCTTTATCATTCTTTTCTAATTGTTTCCAAAATATTAAAAGCTTGTTAAAGTTATATGTTCTTTCTATATAATCTGTAAACATATAAAAAATACAGTTTTTTTTACTATAAGCTATTTAACAATCAATCATAAATTATTAAAAATAATTTGTAATTTTATCCCTTATGTTTTTTTACATAAAAAAACCGAGTTTTATAAATTTTTCAAAACAGGACTACGAACATGAACAGATAAAAAAATTTACTGTTACTCAACGAAAAGGTATATCTAATACAAAACTTATTATTTATGAAGATAATTCTATTTACTTAAAAAATGGATCACAGTATTTCAAATTGTCTGAAACACCAGTTTCTAAGAAAAACTATGTGGCTAAGATTCAAAATGATACAATCACTGTAGAAGAACCAATCACCAAGAAGTTTTTTATACATAAATTGTAGCTAATCTTTAATTTTTTTTATATGAAATCTTTCTTCTTTTTTATAAATTTTTATTCCTAATCTTTTAAAGTAATACACTTCATTTATGCATACATAATTTTCATTCTCAAATATAAATTTTATAATATCTTGATTTTCATTTATAAATATTTTTTTAATATAATCATATTTATCTGTATTAATACATTTACCTGTAATACATCCTATATTATTATAAATATCTATTTTACTGTCTACATATACATCTTGTACATCATTTGATAAAAAAGAGTAGTAAATATTATCTCTAAACTCAAAAATACATCCATTAGTATTCTTTTTAATATCTTTTATGTTTGCTTTAGTATTTATATTAAAATATTTATTTGTACCTCCTATTATTTTTATAGTAAAATTATTATTTATATTATCTTTTAATGGTTTTAATATAATATTACTGGTATCACTAATATTTAAATTAACTTTATTATACTTTTCACTAATCCAATCAGTGTCAGAAAGTATATTATTTAAATATTGATCGATAAAAATACAATCTAATCTTACAGATCTTTTTAATGTACTATTAATGTGTAATATAATATCTATTAAAAAATTTGGAAATTCTACATAAATATTTAAAGATGGTTGTACATTCTTAATAATATTTCTTAAAACATTCTCTTGTTTTTTAATTGACTTATTTTCTATACAAAGACTATTTTTTACATAATTATTAAAATCTTCTATATTAGACTTCTCAGTACAGATGTGATAATTGCCCCATAAAAGATATTTAAAATCTTTTATAGATTTAATTTCTGTACATATTTTATTAGAAAATGACAAATCACTGAAATATAAAAAGGTGTCATTAATACTAAACATACACCATCCAAAATATAATCCAGAACTAAGAACCTTTATAACACAATTATTAAAATGTATTAATTGATTATAAGTAATAAAGATACAATTTTTTATGAAAAAAGGAGAAATTTCTTTTTTACGATCTATTTCTTTTTTACAATCTGTTTCTTTTTTACAATCTGTTTCTTTTTTACAATCTATTTCTTTTTTACATTCTGTTTCTTTTTTACATTCTGTTTCTTTTTTACAATCTGCTTCTTTTTTACATTCTGTTTCTTTTTTACGATCTATTTTTTGTACATATTTACCTTCTGTGCCTTGTAAAAATATACCTTCTTTTTCTTTTTTACAATCTGTTTCTTTTTTACAATCTGCTTCTTTTTTACAACCTGCTTCTTTTTTATCACTGTCTGTTTCTTTTTCATTTTTTATCTTATGCTTGTATAATAACTGTTTATACACAGGCTCTGTAATGTAGATAGGAATATCTTCTTTAATGTATAAAATATCTAAATTTAATGAATGTGAAATAAATATTGTATCTGTAAACAGTACATTACTTGTATTAAAATCAAACAATATTGTATTATAAGACGTTGTAATTGTAAATGATGAATCAAGCTTTTTGATTAGTAACATAAGAGGGTGTTGATGATTTTTTAAAATTGTCAAATAATTTATGTAAAAATAAAAAATATTTATATAAATACTAATATTGCATAAACACAGAAATAAATTAATGTTTTTTTACTGTAACTTAAACATTTTGTTTGTAAAAAACAAACAAATTTATGCAAATTAGTATAAATAAAAATAATTCCTGCATAAATTATTTATTTTTAAATTTTCTATTCTTTTGGTTTTTTTTCTCCCCTGGGTTTTAATGAAAATTCTCATTACTTCCGATAACCATTTAGGATATAAAGAAACAGATACTATACGAAAGAATGATTCATTTATAACCTTTGATGAAGTACTACAAATAGGTGTCAGTAATAATGTAGATCTTATTTTACAAGTAGGTGATCTATTTCATGATAATAGACCTTCTAGATATTGTATTAATAGAACTATAAATATTATTAGAAAGAATATTGTAGATGAATGTATAGAAAATGAAAATATTCCATCACTAGCTACTTATAAACTTAAAATCCCTTTTTTATGTATTCATGGTAATCATGATGATCCTTCCGGTTTAAATAAAATAAGTACCTTAGATATACTTCATTCTGCTGGACTAGTAAATTATATTGGTAAAGATTCTATATTATGTGATTATGTACAGTATAATAACATAAGAATATACGGTGTAGGATATGTAAAAGGTAAAAATGTTACAGATATTTTTAAAAAGATAGAATATAAAGATTTAACAACAGATTTTTTTAATATTTTACTTGTACATCAAAATAGAGTGCCTAGAAATAAAGATTATCTCTGCCCCACTTCTGTACCTGATTCTTTTAATATGTTAATATACGGTCATGAACATGATCCAGTTATAATAAGAAATAAAACATTCTTATTACAGTGTGGGTCAACAATTAGAACCAGTCTTTGTGAAGCAGAATGTAACCAAAAGTTCTGTTATATCTTTGAAACAGGTATAAATGTACTTAATAAGATTAAATTAAATAGTATTCGACCGTTTATAATGGAAGATACTAATTTATATGAGGAAAAAGAATTAATCAATTATATTAATTTACTTCTAAACAATGAAAATTCTTTATTGTCTAATGAAAATTTAGAAGAAGAACCAAAGAAACAAAAAATATCTAATGAAGATTTTAATGATGGTTTTTCGCACCATAAACCCATTACTGTAGTAAATTTAGAAAATAATTTAAAATATCCTACACTTTTACCACTTGTAAGACTTAGAATTTTAACTACGAATGTTTTAAATGTTAATAAAAGCAGATTAAGTCACTTGTTTAAAGATAAGATTAGTAATCCTTCTGAAATAATAAAATTAATACCACATAAAAAAATTAAAGATAAACCATCAACAATAGTTTATCAGTCACAAAATATTACAGAAATTATAGCTAACCATTTAAAATGCACTCCTTTGGAATGCATTCCAGAATACAAGTTTATTGAGCATTTTAATAAAGATAGTTCATTTATTGACATGGTTACAGAGAATACTGATAATCTTACACAAAATATACAATATGACAACTGCTTGATAGCTGATCTTGAAAGTGAAATACGAAAAATTAAAAATGAATTATGTAAACTACACATGGTAGAAAAAAAGGCTAATAATAATTTAGAAAATACGAACAATTCATCTCATGTTGACCATTTTACTGACAATAATGTAAATAAAGTGATAACAGCAAAAGATAGTAAGACTTTAAGGAAATCTATAAACAATAATATTGTTATTAATAATATACTTAAGAATGAAGACATTGTAGATGATTTTATAAAAATAGGCAGTCCTGCCTTTACTAGTGAAATATCCGGAATGTTTGATAATGAATCTTTTACATCTAAAGAACGCGAAATAGACCCATCAAAGGTGAATAATTTAGATAAAGAAGTTCTAAACAATACAAATACTGTTAACAAAGATGTTGATGATACATCATCCAATTTTATTCGTCTACAGGATGTTAGTAACAATACAAGAAAAATTTATGAAGATGAGTCAGATAGCACAGATTTATTTATAGATTTTTAAAAAAATAAATAAAATATGATAATAAAAAATTTTTGGCTTTCTTGTACAAATTGTGCTTATGTTTTCTGAATTAAACAATTCATTTCAATTAGCATGCTCCTACATAAAAAGAAAATTTCAAAACACCCAAAGCTACATAAAAGCTCTGTATTGTACAAAGATAAACCCTAATATTTTTTTATTTCATATTTTTGGTAGCATGTTGTTATGCATCTATATCATCACATAAAAAATTAAATAAAAAACTTAAATAAATTTATTCTTCTTTTCTCTAAGAGATCCCATTTCTTCCTCATTTTTCAATAAAAAAAATGGATTTTCTTTCTTCTCTTCTCCTAAGGTCAAAAATATTCTATCATCCTCCACGTGATTTATGTACTGACATTCAGACCTTATAAATCTTAAGTTTTTTTCCTTATAATTATGTCCATATAACATTATAATATTATTATCATACTGTTTTATTTTATTTATTGCTGCTAACATATCTTTTGGTGTACCTTCTGTAAACCATCCACATCCAAGATAAAATATAGTGTCTCCAGTACACATGTATTTATTATTAATAAGAATACATATACTGTCCCTTGTATGACAAGGAGTCTTAAAACACTTTACTATAGTTCCCTGTATATTTATATCTTTTTCTTCTCCTTTTATTTGCTTTATATCTGGAAATATTTCTTTAAGTCTTTTGTCTCCACTAGAATGATCAAAATGATGATGTGTAGTGAATGAATACAATAATTTTCTAGGTATTATAATATTAGAAAGATGTTGTATTTCTTCTGGTAGATAGTATTCTTTAGTAAATTCTTTCTTTAAACATTCCAATAATATTTCTGGATTTGTTGCATCAACTGTAAATGCGAAATCTTGAGTGTAAAAAAAATACATAAGATTATTATCTTCAGATACCTTTAGAGCAATGAATTTAATATCCATGGGTATTTTAAATCACAATTTATATTTATTCTTCTCCTTTATTTATAATCTATAGAAATAAATAATCACATTCTATCTTAATATTTCTCTAGTCTTTTGTATTATATTACTACTTAAATATTTCATTTTTCATATACAAAATAACTCTTAACACATTTTGTATATCCTTTCATCTCTTTCTCACCAATATACTGAAAATTAATATTATCATCATCAAATACTGCACAGTGACAGCAAAATACACCATTTCCTAAATATGATAATCTAGAAGCTTTATTTAGTGCATTCCCCATAAATTTACTATTTAAATTTGCTGATTTAAACCAATAATATCCACATGCCACTCCTATACTTAAGCTTATATTATACATTGTAAATAATTTAAAAATGTATAACCCGAATTTTAATACTCTATTAATATCTTGGCCCACATAAACTAGACAATCTAATCCATTATTTTCTAAAATAACACAAATATCAAGTGTTTGTAATCTCTTTAGTAAGAACTTTAGTTTTTTTTTATATTTTATTTCATTTGTTTTAGGAATAAAAAATTGTATAAAAAGAAATGATACATCTATCTTTTTTGGTGTACTAGTATTATTTCTTAAATATTTTTTTATAATCATTTTTGGTGGTGTAATTTTACATTTCCTAAATAAAACCGTATCAGAAACATGCGAATTGTGCTGATTTATAATAATAACTGTGTAGTCTATACAATCTACACTGTTATTATATGATTTTTTATATTCTATATTATCTTTATTAATTAATTTGTGTAAATTATTGTTATCTTTATTCATTGTCTTTTGTAAATTATTATTATCTTTATTCAATGTTTTATGTAAATTATTATTATTTTTATCCATTGTCTTTTGTAAATTATTATTATTTTTATTATTTTCATATATTTTTATACTATCCATATTATTTTCATATATTTTTATACTATCCATATTATTTTCATATATTTTTATACTATCCATATAATATTCTTTATTATTATTTTCATATATTGGTACAATATACCATTTTCCTATATTATCATAAATGTATGTATGTTCTTTATAAATTATCTCTCTTTGTAAAAAATAATCCATTATAACTCTAACATTATAAGTCTTAATAATAATATTCTCTTCTGTAACACACACAATATAAAAAGATTCTTTTGTTAAACACACCTTTTTAAGTTTATTGTAAATTTCAGAAATTTTTTCAATTAAATTATCTGATATAATATCTCTGATTATGCAAGTTAAAATAAATTCAAAATCATGAATATTTCTCTGTACGATATAAAATCTATATGCTATATTATATATTTTATATTTTTTATATTCACTTTTAAAGTTATTTAAAATATCTTTTTTTCTAAGACTAACATGTTTTTCAATTCCTCCTTTTTTATCTAAAAAAAGAATATCTGCTTTTATGCTATTTTTTTTTATTTTATTATTTCTTAAATCACAAAAAAATAAATGTTTATCGTAAATTACTTTAGTAAGGAAATTATATCTTAAATCTAAATAATCTAAATCTAAAGAATTAAGATTTAGAGATGTAATAAATTGGTTATTAATTGTTAACTTTCTGACTGTAGAAAAGTTATAATATTCTGTACAATGTCTAATATAAAATATTCTATAATTTTTATAGAAATATAATCTATTATTAAATAAATAAACTAAGTCTTGAAGTAGAAATTCTTTCATTTTTCCAGATTTAATTAAATATAATGAATCATTATTGAAATTATTTGGTGATGAAATGTTATCAATCCAACACTCTCCTGAAGGTGTTTCTATCAATATTTTTATTTCTTTTAGATTTAAAGAACTAATTTCTTTAGTTTTATAAACATCTTTTAAAATTAATCTGTTCTTACTGCTTACCACTTTATTATGCAAATTTTTAACTTTAAACATTTTATTGGGGTTTTTACATTAAAAAACAAAAATAAAATTATATTAATTTTTAATAATTCCCCTTTCTTTACTATTCTTTTTGATTATTTTAATCCCTTTTATTTGATATGAATCTTTATACTTCTACAACCATAAAAACACTATTGTGCCTTCTTTTACAGACGTATGTTATTTATAATGATAGTAAAAAGACTTGTATGCTAATAATGGGATTTCTTGTGTTGTACAATGCGATATTTCTTGTATACATTAAATATAAATCAGATGTATTTAGAACTAGATTTTTAAGGAAGCATTATAGACCATCTTGTACTTTTTTAATACCATTTTATTTAATAGAAGTTATAATAACAGGTTTATTTTACTGGTTTACTTATAATCATATAATAATTGTTAATTATATTATACTTCTAGTAGCTTATTTATTTAAAATACCTAAGCGTAGGAAGACAATTCCTTTAGAGCCAAGTGGAGAATTTTTTAAAATTGCTTTTCTACTACAAGACTATTTAGAAAATAATGAAGTAGTGTTAAGAAGAGGAGATGTAGTACAAATACTAGAAAAAAAAGGAGAAAATATTATTGTAAGGAGTTCTAGGGGGAATAAATATACTATATCAGGACTATTAATAAATGATGATATAGATTTGGTAATATAAATTAAAATTTATTAAATAATAAATTTATGGTATAAAATTGGTGTTTTAATATATTATTATAATATTTGTAGTGCATTTAAAAGGTTTTAAAATATAATTTATATTGATTTATGTACTTCTGTTAACAACTTTTTAATGATCTATAACTAAGTGTTACGATACAAGAATTAAAACTTTAAAATAATTGATAACCTGATTATGCTAATAAAATGTGTTTATAATAAAAATTAAAAAAAATTGTTTTATTGTTAATTAAAAGATTTAAACAATCGCTGATTTAATTTATAAAATATAATTTGACTCTAAAGACTATATAAAATACATCTAATTGATTCCTTAGAAACAAGTCTTTTGCATAAAATATTTCAAAGCTAAATGTAATTTTTAACAAAATAAAAACTGATAAATCAAATTAACGTTCATAAAAAAAAATTTAGAATAAAATAATTTAATCGAGTAAGACACCATCAAAAGTATCTACAAACCATTTCTGCGCATCCTCTTTTGTAATTTTTTGTTTATTACCTATTTTACTTCTATGTCTCTTTCTTTTAGAAACACGATCACCAGGTCTCTTTAAGTCAACATAAAAATTCATTCCAAAAATACCAATATCAGGATCATATTTCATTCCTAAATCAATATGTTCATTAATACCTAATCCAAAACATCCAGTAGCATTAAAACAACTTTTAGATAACTCATATTCTCTAACCTTTAAAGCTTTTTTCAGAACTTCCATGGCCTTTTCTCCTGAAATATTAACATGAACACTAATCTTTTCATTACGTCTAATACCGAAATTTCTAAGAGTGTACCTTGCTTTACTAAAAAGACAATCTTGATCTGTAAGCTGTTTTAAAACCTTAGCAGCATTATTAAGCTTATTAGAAGATCCTCCTCCAACATTAATAACAATACTAAGCTTCTTGATTTTTATTTCTCTCATTGGATTAATTTTCATTTTAGAGGGTAAAAAATAAAAAAAAATATTTGGATTTTATGAGCATAAAATTAGAAAATGTTATACATATAAAAAAAATAGAAAAAAAATATTGTCATATAAAAAAACTTCTATGGCACCAAAACTCAAAATCAAATAATTGATATCACGAACAAGCATACTCCTAGGGCCTTGCTTGTATGAAGATAGAGAATATGAAATACTATAAAAAAAAAGAAATTTATTGTCATCTAAGAAAACTTTTACGGCACTAAAACTCAAATTGTAAAGATAAAACATGGGTTTATTTAATAATTATTATTTATATAACAGATATGTCAAAGCCATCAACCTAATACTGCTGATTGACAGTCTACATCTTTAATGTCCTACACAAATAATTGATAACACGAACAAGCATACTCCTAGGGCCTTGCTTGTAGAATTAATTAAAATTTAACAGTCAAAAGACTGAGACCTGCACCTAACCGGATTTGAGGTTAAATGCCTAGTTCAATACACCATTTAGGGACGCTACTTAGCCCAGCGGAATCTATAACCTTTATCACCTAATTACTTCGGCAAAGTTAAGGCAGTAAAAATTTTAAACCTTTATTATATATCTACAATATAAAGTAAAAAGTTGTTTATCATTTTTCATGCCTTTAAAAGTGATTTTTGAAAATACAATGTAAGAAGTTTAACCTCCTTTTGTACATTAAAAAAATTTACATTTTAATAACGATATTTAATAGTAAATTTTTTACGTTAAAATAATTTTCTTTATACCCCAATTTATAAGATGAAAATAAAAGCAGGATTTTGTATTGGTTACATAGGTACAGGATATTCTGGATTACAACTCAATGGAGATTATAATACTATAGAAAAGGCCATATCAGAATGTCTGTTTTCTTGTTCAGCAATAAGTTCTCAAAATGCTAAAGATCCTTCTAAAATACATCTAAAATCTTCATCTAGAACTGATAAAGGTGTTCACGCCGCATTTAATCTTATTAGCTGTAAAATTGAGTGTCAAATAACAGACGTTTTTTTTCAAAAACTTAAGGAATGTTTATTTTCTAAAAATATTTATCTTTATAAAATTTTGCGCCTAACAAAATCATTCATTCCTACTAATCTTACCATTTCAAGAACGTACGAATATATTCTTCCAACTTATTTCTTAGCTAAAAGCAATTTTAGTGCCGAATGTTCTGATCTTATAGCAAAAGATTTAAACCGCGATAAGATGACAAAAAGAGAATATAATGAAAAGGATATTGAACAGATTTTTGGATATCTCGCTGATAAGGATGATATTAAATACTTTTGTGATATCTTTACAAAATTTCTTGGAACCAAAAATTTTCATAATTTCACAACATTGAGTAATCATAAGGGTAAGCAGAGATATATTAAAAATATTGAATTCTCTAATGCTTATGTGATTGATGACATTGAATATATAAAAATTACAATTGAGGGACAGAGTTTTCTATTACATCAAATTAGGAAGATGATTTATTTTTCTGTACTACTTTGTAGATACAAAAGGAATGAATTTTCAACCATTTTTGAAAAAGTCTTTTCTGATGAATATTTACATGTTCCAAAAGGACCAAGTCAATATTTATTACTTGATTCTCCTAAATTTTTACCTCTCAAAGACAAGGGAAAAATGAATGATACTCTTGAAATTAACCTTGATGAAAAAAATGAGTATAAAGTGAATGTTATATACAAATGTATACATGATAAACAAAATTTAAAATATTTTTTAGCCTGTTTAGATTCCTCTAGATTTTACAATGATGAATTAAACTATCTTTTTTGATAAAAAATGTAAAAAAAAAATTAAATTTGTAATTGTTGAAAGTTATTCTTTCTTTTAGTTACTTTTTATTAGGAATCACAACATTGAAGCAGTAGTCTATTGGTTACTGTAGACTGATTTGAAAATAAGTTTCAGAGGTGTGATATTAAGACCACATAGATTTTTCTGTTTTAACCAAACAAAAATGTGATTAAATTTTCTAGAATTCATTTTTCTATAAATAAAAATTTTAAAGAGAAGGGCAAAACAAAATGAAAAATCGGAGGTAACAGAAAAACAATCATTATGAATGATAATTCTAGTCTAATTAAAAACAATCTTTACTACGAAACGAAAGTTCCACCAAATATTATAGAATATTTTTTCAGAACGAGGAGTTTGTCCTTGTAATTTATTAAACGTCTTTTTTAATAATTAAACTTGCAATGATCACTGTTGGGGTAAAACATGGGTTTTATAATTTTAAATTATTTAAATATTGATATTTTAAAACCATCTACTAACTGTCGTGAGGTTTCCCACTTATGTTCCCTCATCCCTGTAGTCACTGTTTTACAATTTAAATAATCGAGTAAAACCTAAAGAAAATGCACAAAGTTATTATGCTATACTTATAGAAATAAATTTAACATTGAAGGAAGTTTTACCCTAAATTATTTATACCTTTTAACTTCTAAAAAAAATAATAAAAATGTTTATTATAGACGCCAACTATATGTTAAAGTTATAAATAACATAAATTCTTTAGCACTAATTTCAGGAAATTTTTCACATGCTTTTTTTATTCCAGATTCTTTTTTGATAATTTTTTCTTCTTTTATTGCCAATAATTAATCGTTTTTTCGAACCTCATTAATTAAGTATATTATTAAAGGATGACTTACCTGGAACAAGCCATTAATGATTCTGTTCCAGCCTTCACACATATTTATTGTTAAAGGCAGATCTCTGATTACTGCGGAAAAGCAAGGCCAGTTCATGTCACTTGTTAACGTAATGATTTATAAGTTAAGGGTTATTTATTTAAAAATATTTATCCGTAACATTTCCCCGTCAAATCAATAAACCGCATTACCCCACATTCTCAGCTAATCACTATATCTCTTGATAACCTTACCGTTATTCAACTTGATCTTATAAGTATCATTTTCAAGCTCCTCTTCGATGATTCCTAATCTGTCAAATTTATATTGACCTTTATATTTGTGTATTTCATTTTTGATTAAAACATTATCTCTCTTCTTGTATTTTATTATTACGCGGGTTTTTTCTCTTTTTGTGTTATATTTTAAGGTATCTTTAAACTGGACTTCATTTAATCTACTCTTTTTTATTTCCCACGTCACCACTGTCGGGGTCATATCTAAGCTGCAATGCTTCACATTGTTATAAACCTTTAATACGTTTTCTCCCTGTTCATCTAATTTTAACACTGTTCGTGTTTGTTAATTCCTTCCATTAATGTCCTGTTGAAGCATTCTATTCTACAATTAGACTGGTAATGATACGGATAAGTCATATGGCTGGTGATTCCATTATGTTTACACCAATGTATAACTTCGTTGCTAATATTTTCTTTTGCTGAATAACACAATAGGCTTTTTATATTTATTTGTCTCTTCACTTTATCTAAAAATTTTAGAATGTTCTCTGTTTCGCAATACCTCCGCAAACCTTATCTACTGAAATAGTCAACTGCCGTAATAACATATTTATCATATGGACCTATGATATCAAAGCCGACCTTATACCCCACGTCATAACAGTTAATCTAGTAGGAGATGTTTGTCTTTATGAGATTATTTAGTTTACATTCCACGCAGTCTTTCAATACCTTTTTAATCCTTTCGTAAGTTGCCTTATCCTTGTCCATTCTGGTTTTATTAAACTCCTTCCAGGATATTCTGGATTCTCTATAAATGATCTTCTTGTGAAATTCTAAAATTATTTTATAAAATTCATCTTCTGTATCTCGGACAACAAAATTTATCTCATCCACATCTAGGATATTGCTCAACCCATCCAAGTGTGGGGTGTCTATTCCTTTTTTATGCTCTACTTTAAAGTTAAAAATTTCCATCCTTTCTATCCAACGCTCTATTCTCGACGATCGAAGCGTCTGTCTGTCATCCAAAATCGTAAGAGCTTTATGATCCGTAATCAATTTAAACTCTCGTCCCAACAAAAAATACTTAAAATCTCCATTGACCACAACACCGCTAACATTTTCTTTTCACTGATCGAGTAGTTGCGCTCCGCTTTTCCTAGCTTCTGGGATGCGAATGCCACGAGTAATATGTCTCCCTCGATCTTTTGACAAAATATCGCTTCTATGCCAACCTTCGATACATCTGTTTCTAAAATGAAACCTTTATTGAAATCGGGCTGTTGGAGTACCATACTCACCAAGAGACTTTTTTAAACTTT